CCCTCCTTCTTTGTTTCGAAGGACGCTTTGGTGTTTCTGGGTTCATGAGATTCGCATCGCACAAGTGCTCTAGATGCTTCTTGACACGGCATCAGAGCAAACATTTGAGAGTGTAGAGCACCTTCTTCATTGTAAACACAGTACATTAACATCTCCACCGAATCCAAATCATCTGTCTATGTTGTGTCCAATGGGTTTTGCTGATATCGAGCACTGTCAAGTTGCACTTCCTCATTTACATAATGATTGAATGGATATATGATTGGCAATAACATTAGACGAGCTACAGGAATGACTTGAATAAGAATTTATGTGATTTGTCTAGTCAAAGCAGTTTTGTGTTAACTGCAGTCTTCTGTTGCTAGGTCTCAAGCTATAAAGAAAAATTTCAACATTAACTGATATGTCTGAAACGAATCCAGCAACACATAGGATTCCATTAAACGTCCATCAAACTATGATATCCAACCTTAATTAATGTTCAATGAAAGCAAACATCTGGTAAATAGCCAAATGTGTTTATTCAGAATATCGGCTAACAATAAGTTAATCCGTCACAGTGATTGGTGTAAAAAGATACACAGAACGTGCTGTGGATCATTTAATCAGGATTATTCTTCACAGTCTCCTTCACCAATGATACACAGGACGTGACAACTAGTGGACTTTTGCAGATTCAAATTTAACAATGGACATTTCACAGATTGATAAATCACGGAGGTGAAACTGGATGATTTTATGAGACAAAAAGACCACCACTACAATCATTTGAAATTAATTGGTGAATGGTTACAGAGTTTGTTCTTAGCTGGAGCAAGACCATCTATGAATTGACAACCAGAACATTTGCTTCCACTACATCTTCTTTTTAGAAAAGTAGTAATAATAATAATATGCAAAATGAGAATTTCACTCCGTTTTGATGTCAGCCAAATAAACAACAACCAACATTCATATGACACCCACGATACACAACAGAGAATACCATATTATTTTTGGAATAATGAGATGCAATGAGGTGATCAATGATGAACAAAGTACGATCATAGCTGATTCTATAAACAAAAAAGAGGTCAACACAAATATGTTTTGTTCATTAGACAAACACGTTGTTTACACTGAGATTGAAGAAGAAGTAATCAATTTTACCTTGAAAATGTTATCGGATGTAAAGAGAAATGATGATAGAACGTGTAGTGATGTTATATTGAATGCGATGAATCAAACAGAATTCGCAATTTGTCTTTGCAAATCTTATTCCTCAATGCATACGATATACAGGTTTGTGGTGTTTGTATGAAGTAGGTTTGGAAATTGACAAGTTGTTGTGATAATTCACTTCATTAGGCCACTTTATCTACGATTCAATGAATATTGATTGAGACAGTAACTGAGGAATGCTAAAATAGCTAACTATTTCCATACATTCATACATACACTCTCGGCCATACCACCAGGGCATTTGGCAGCCTTGATAAAATATCACAACCATTGCATTGAATACATCATTTGCGAAGTTTCATCATTTATCCATCACATTCTGCATGATTCTTCCAGTCCACATTCTCTTGTTCCACCTATATTCTCTTCAACTCGATCTTCTTAACCTTCTGCTGTCCGGTTTTCCACTTCCGATTGCTGTTACAAACTACTTATGTCGACAGACAAAAGTAGTATACACCACAGTTGTATGATTATTTATTCCACGATACTCGTGTTTCCCATTGCTGACTTATGCTAACTATAGAAATTCTCATAAATATACAACAATCTATATGTCGCTACAATTCGAAACTCAATCACAGCTCTTCTTTACATGCCTTTGTTCACTCAGCCTTTCAGTCTTAACATGTAATCTATGAAAATAAACCAATGAATCACAATTCAATCACAATTCGTGTCTTCAAACATCAATCTCCTTGATGATGTATTACACATGGTTATCTTTGTGTTTCATCAACACAGAAGTACACATTTCAGTTTTTGTTTTGAGTAAATGAAACCCCACAGATTGAATACTGCGACATTTTGCTATTCACTCATTTAATAGATTGATTTATTCAAACAAATGTTGAATAGTAGTTCGATTCGTGTATCATTCAAAAGACATTGGTGTTATTCAGCTAATGTGATTTCGATTCTGTAAGTTTCCTTTCGTAAACAGTTCTGAATTGAAAATAATCTGGTCCTAACTGCCTTCACACCTCAGTATTGTAGATATTCACCAATTGATCTGGAAGATTTCTTGGAAGGTCTATAGCGGTATATATGATCAAGGTGCTATCAAAAATGACGAATCGATCTACCACAAAGTAGCAAATATATATTTATAAAGTGAAGATGAACATGATGTCCGGGATCATCATCATCATCATCTACTTGAAATATAATTGTAACATTTATTATGTTGATCATCATTAAGCCGTCCTTCCAGTTACTTGATTTCTGACGATCACATTACAATTCACTTGATAAGATGATATTTGTAGTGTGGTGTCTTGTCGCGGTTGACTATGAACATCACTGCAAGAAGACTACGTGCCAGTTAACCGATAAAATCACCCGTAAGCCAAATATCAGAAAGCAGTTGATGGCTGTAGTCGAGATGTATTTGTTGGTGATCTCGTGGTATCTAATGGATACCGAGATCGTTTCAAAGGAGTACAAGCGTGGTTACTGAGCGTAACCCAACCCGCAAAAGGTCACAATCAATCGAAGGATAATGGAGCAGTAATATGGCTGTCTTTAGCACAGTTAAACAAACGCGCACAGTTAAACAATCACTGGTACAATTGGTTATAATAATGATTGTCTGCATTAAACCCATCGCGTTCCCTTGATAAAAGTAGGTCACTACATATTCAACATTCCAAACTGTGATCGAATATTGAGATTATAGAGAGAAGATCTGTTGCTCAGACTGTTGATGTTGTACTTTTTTTAACTGACATATTGATTAGTTGCTCTATAAACATGGTCTCTTCCATGTTCTATGTGCTGAGTGCGTGATTTCTCTATTGCAGTCCAGGCAATTCAACTCCACCACAGTATTCATTCGTCATCATTCATTGTTCATCTGTGTTGTTCCGTTTATTCATTTCGTTTTGACTGCAGTTATTTACTTTGCTACTGCAAACAATGATACTTCCATACATTTTCCGGATGAACCATTCCATCACTAAACATCTTTAGATATACTTATAATATAACGTTCTCAGTCAAGTAATTTTAGAGTAAATTTGATAAAATTCACACCTGATATGGTCAGTAAAGAAACCGTGAATCAAAAGCACCATGTATATCGGGACATAACAGGAGCTAGACTAAGTGTACTCAACATAACTGAAGTCATCTGGATCAACTCCTGAAAGCCGAAATAATATATTCAGAAGAGGTATATCCAGCCTCCATGTTTACCGTGGTCCACAACTAAATCAGCAGACACTTCAAATTCATGTTATAAACCTATTCGTTTCGTGATTATCTCTTTTCTAATCCACCTTGATTCGTTTTCTTCGTAATTACCTTGACTATACTACTCCTTTTATTACATATTATGATAACACAACGTTGTTATTATTATCACCATTATTATTATTACGACTTCTTATGGTGAAAGTAGAAATTCTTTAGAAGTCGCGAGATCTATATGTGTCAGATGTTGTTCAAAATAAGAAGATAAAACATATCACAGTTCATGGTAAAAATGAAACTCATATATTGCATACTGTGCAGAAAAAGTCTTAGATTCAAGAAATATGTTGCTGGTTCTACGTGAAGAGTAAACAATCTGTTCAGATTGATCATTACTGATACTTGTATATTTACGTCTAAGCTATTACTACTACTACTACTACCACATCATCATCATCTTTTTGAAGTGCACAATTCACTTTCATAGTATCGAGAATTACTATTTTACAAATCTAATCAAAACATAAATAGTCTAGGCGTTTTGCAATGAAATGATTATTGATTTACGAAAGTATGGACTGTTATTCATTCCATTGACTGAAATCATGAATCAATTGAAGTTAGACCACCATGGAAAACCTGGAAGCACTGGACGGTTGTTTCATCCTAGACTGGGACTCCTGAGCAGTTCACATCCAAGATCCCGCATCTCGTGAGATTCGAACTCAGGACATATCAGCGTCGCGTGCACAAAACCCTTCCTGATAACACTCATTTGCTCACTAGTGACTGACTTCATGAGACACTCATGGAGTTCTAGTGAGAATCCGCTACCAGTGGAGTTCAACCAGGTCTGTTGTCAGATATCAACTCACTGAAGACAATGGTGACGGTGGCGCAACTTCGTGGATTAGTTGAAGTTAGACATGAACACTGTAGGATGCTGGCCGACTCAGTAGTCTAATGGTTGAGCGCTCGCGTGCGAGACTGATCGGTCCTGGGTACGGATGTTGCGGTGGGCGGGATCGTGGATGCGCACTGCTGAGGAACGGCCGTCAAGTGCTTCTAGATTTTCCATGGTGATCTAGCTTCAATTGACTCATAATTTAAACCAGTGAAAGAATTCATTTTATTGAAATAAAAATTAAACTTAGAAATGTGAACTTTGGTCATCTAATGAAAATAGTGTGTGTTACTTTAATTTCAACCAATCAAATCAAAACTATGCAGCGTTGACAACCAAATCACAGTTAGTTTGTTTGTTCATGAAAATATGAGCACTAATTACTTAGTTTAAATTATTGGTAATCCTGTTCAAAATAGTTTTCATCAATAACGGGGTGGGGTCAGGAATTTCAATAAACTATGGATCAATATCGGACTATATTACCTCAATACGTGTAAGAATATGGCATAACCATTAGTTCATCTCCTATGACGATTGGTTAATAATTATGAAGAGAATTTATGAAATTTCATCATCCTAGTGGTCACTTTGAATCATCCAATCTGACAGAAACATACAAACACTTCAAAAAAATTCTTTATAAGACTCAACATGTTCTACCAACGTCTAAAACAAGAAAATGATGTAAGAATTGACTGTACACTTAAGTCAAATGATTGTATTATATCCATTTCAATTTGATCTAATGAGATAACATATTGTTCTATTCATTTTAACTATTTCAGATCTACATTTTCATTTGGTCAGTTGGTAACGATCTATTCGATCATTGTCCTCACATCGGAATCTTTCAACTGTCATGAATCTTGTGGAAACGCTTTATTTAGTAAAACAAAGGTAATTTTTCAAACTGCTACACATATATATGTAAGTGATCAGTCAAATTGCATTGCAAATATTCAGTCTCATTCTTATCACTATTCCCAGTTCATTCGCCTTAATCAATCCCCTCCAATGATAAGTGGAACGTTTAAGAAATCGGTTGTTAGGGAGGTGAGTTAACGACATTTTCCAACGGAGATGATAATCTATATGTTTGCATATTTCTAGAAAATAGATCTAAATTTCCCCTTTACATTTTACGGTGCTGATGTTCGCACATTCAATAAAGATAGTAATGGTAAGAGAATTCTTTTCCTCGAATTAAAGATTTGTTTACTCACATTTCAATTCCATGAATCAAAGTCGCCTTCATTACTTCAATAGATCAGTTTTAGGCATTTTTTGTTTCACATTCAATACATCTTCTAATGTATTTCCTTGTTCAAGTTGTACCGTAGGAGTAAACTAATTACAGTTCATGCAATTCATTCTAGTCTCCAGTGAATTTCAAAGTCTTTCATTCATTCCCTATAGATTATCAATCAAATTGCATATTTTCATTTGATAAACACAGGAAGAACTTATTTTCAAGAAGGAGAAGATACGAGTTTTGTTTTCAATCATATCACCGACAATGTTCAGTGTGAAGTTGAGATATTGAATGGGGGTGAGTTCTATTGTTCAGTGACGTGTTTTTGTTTTATGTTTTACATTACTCATTTTTATTTTGCATAAATGATTCAGCATCTAACTTGATTGTTTCATGAGAGCTGGTCAGTACACAGTGATTATTTTATTTGTGTGATCTCATGCCCCAAAAATGTGTTCACAGCATGTTTTCATTACTGTGAAGGGAAAATCTTAAATAAAACAGTGATTCACTTTAAAGTAGACACAAATTGATTGAGTAGAAATAATAAACCAAATCATGTGAATGCGAAGGTGGAAATTATCTACTCTTCAATCTGCTCAAACTACCATAAAACTGATATTTCATCAATACGACACTTCTTGATAGATTGAACGAATCAAGCTGATCACAGATGCATTAATGAGCGATGTTGTGTGAGAAATCACTTTGGATTATTGAAGCACATGAACTATCAATAATTTATATTTGATGTCCTCCAAATCTTTCTGTCACTTACTTGGTTCTTAAAAATTCAGTCCCTCTTATTCACCGTCGTTGAACTATTGGATACTTTGTTGATTATCATAATCGGTTGATCATGAACTTTGAACTTATGAACCACCTCAAACATCCAATCAACTAACAATCACGAATAATGTGCTAGTACAACAAGATTGATTTGAACTAGAACACCTAGAATATCAAGATGAAGGGTATTCATTTTATTCACTTGTAGCGTGGCGTCGAGTTGAGGTTAACTATGAACACCGCTACCAAGAAACACGTGCCAAATAGATCAGAAGGCTTAAGAAGCTCGTTAAAATGACTCCATAAAATCCCCGAGAAGCCAAATACCAGAAGGCAATTAATGGACCAAGTCGATGTTTATTTGCTGGCGATCTCGTGGCATCGAAAGGATACCGAGATCGTGCCAGGATACAGGCTGGGTTACAGAAGGTAACCGAATTCGCGCGAAGTTACAATCGAAGTGTAAGAATAAGAATGGAAGCACAAAATAGCTGTCATTAGCACAGTCAAACAAGAGCACATTAAAACAAACACTGGTACAGTTGGTTATAATAATAATTGTTTTTATTAAACCAGTCGTGTTCTCGTGATAAAAGTGAGTCACTACAGGAGCCCCCCGCTAGAAAGGGTTTACACTTTCGATAAATAGCGGTTTGAATCGTGGGACTGATCGGCTGACGAGCGATTGTGGGACGGAAGAATTGGCGAGCAGGAAAGCGATCGTTGATCGTCGAGTTGCCAACGAAGGTCGTTTTCGGAGAACGGTACCAGGAGCGATGTGCTGTATGCATTGCTTGAGTTGGCATGCTACACGAGAGTGGTTTGTATCCAGAATCTGAAGAGGGCGTTCGTAGGGAATGCGGACCAGAAACGCTGCAGACGAAGGACGAAACCACGTTGAGCCAAAAGACCAGAAGCGACCATAACGACCATGTTCGAGACCAAGCGTATGCCAAGCATTCGAAACCAATATATCGACTGAGTGCGTTGACAAGAGCATGGGTGATCAGGCCAGCTTTCGCCAAAGTTGACTGAAGTCGACGGAACCAAACGGAGGTGGTCGAAGGCGTGGGCTCAGGAAACAAAAAGAAAATAAAAATAAAAGAGTGTAGCATACGTGTAGTATAGGAATAATCCTACACCGTATCAGTTGTTGACTGTGCGACTATTCGCGGAAGCGTACAGGTAACCGTACTCGGCGACCAGAACGTGAGACGGCAGTCTCGTTCGTATCGCGTGAGCCTGCAATCTCATCCGAGGTCAGAGGCGGCGTGGTCTGCTGATCTGGACGTGAGACTATCGTCTCGTCCGTAGACGGTGCAGATGACGCGTGCTGTTGACCGGGACGTGAGAATGAGGTCTCAGATGTATCTAGCGTGGGACCTGAAGAAGATTTAAGGATCCCGCTAGGTTTAATAGGTCTAGCATTGAATCTCAGGTTACCAGATAGGGCACTGTCATCGACGTGTGCTGGTTTGAGACGATCAACGCTGACGATCTCGACGCGGCCATATCGATCAACCTTGAAGGTCTTTTTGTGACGAGCAATCACGTGAAAAGGGCCTTCGCAAGGTTGTTGCCAAGGTTTGCGTACCGAATCTACTCGTATGAAAACATGTGAACAGGTAGATAACTCTCGAGGGAGAGCGACCTGTCGATGTTGTATTCGAGTTGACACCGGAGACAGCGTTCGCATAAATGCAGACAGTCGATGGACGTAGTCTGATTTACCGAAATTAGGTCTGCTCCGTGGTGTGAAGAATTCTCCGGGCAGACGCAATGTCGTGCCGTATACAAGCTCAGTGGCGGAACATTGGATATCTACCTTTAAGCTCGTACTCACCCCTAAAAGAACGAGCGGTAAGGTTTCGTGCCAGTTGCCGTTTTCGTGTGCTCGTAGAACACTTTTAAGTTGGCAGTGAAACCGTTCAACGTAACCATTTGGTGCTGGGTGGTAGACGGATATGCTTATGCGTATGCATTCCGTACCAAGCAGCCGGGTCAGCGAGGAGAATCGTTAATAGGGTAACATTTCTCGAATAAAGCGTGGAATTCATCATCACGCGAATAAAAAGTGACAAGGATTCGGTACACATACGTGTGAGTCTATTATATTAATACTATTCTTATCGTTATCCGTCATGTCGCGTATATTATATATTAAAAAATATGAAAATATACGACAGACGTGGATAGATAAATCATAGACTCACCGAATTGGCTTCTTTGGAAGATTTGATCAGAGGATGAGGCGTGTTCCAAACTTTGGGATCACCAATTGTAGCGTGGCGTCGAGTTGAGGTTAACTATGAACACCGCTACCAAGAAACACGTGCCAAATAGATCAGAAGGCTTAAGAAGCTCGTTAAAATGACTCCATAAAATCCCCGAGAAGCCAAATACCAGAAGGCAATTAATGGACCAAGTCGATGTTTATTTGCTGGCGATCTCGTGGCATCGAAAGGATACCGAGATCGTGCCAGGATACAGGCTGGGTTACAGAAGGTAACCGAATTCGCGCGAAGTTACAATCAAAAGTGTGAATATAAGAATGGAAGCAAAATATAGCTGTCATTAGCACAGTCAAACAAGAGCACGTTAAAACAAACACTGGTACAGTTGGTTATAATAATAATTGTTTTTATTAAACCAGTCGTGTTCTCGTGATAAACGTGAGTCACTACACACTCACCGAAATTAATGTCATTGGGGTAACATTCCCGGGCAATCATTAGTTCAGTTAAGAGAATACTGTTCAATTGAATAACAGAATTTCACAAAACGATTATGTATGTTTATTGTCGAATAGATATTAATGGTTGCTTAGTTAGCCAAATGATTACAAGCCCAACATGTCAGAACGCAGATCATTTAGACTCTCATTTAGTTGAATTGTTTCATTTCAATCTTGAAAAGGAACATCATAACCTGTGTTCAAACATATTTTGTGTTAGAAAAAATGTATGTTTATTGAAAGAGGTCAATATTCATTATAGAGAAACATGAACACAAATTTATTTTACTTTCATTGTTTCAGAGGAATTTCTCGCTGTCAGAAAATTATGTCCTATAGAAATTGATAATAAAAGTATGTATACATATCCATGATTGTTTGATCCCATGTGAACTATTAACACCCTACATCATCATCATCATTGATTGTTATTACTCAACTGTTTTCTATTCCATTTGAGTAATTGAATTCGTCTTTAAAAAAAACTGACGAAAGTATTGCAGTGTAACCATTCTACGAAGTCAAAGGCGAAATACACATAGAATCCATTGATTGTCGATGCATATTTGAATACATTAGGTCATAATCATATTTCATTTGTAGATAAACGAATGCAGAGTTTCATCTTCATTGACAGGTCTCGAAGGAACATGATAACACGTCTGTACAAATGTGTTCATCGGAAAATCATTTCTGTATACATCACATTCATCTGGATATTCACTCATTATACGATCATTCTTAACTTTTATTCTTTCAAATTAAGAGTTCGTTAAAACAGAACGTGTTAAGGGTATTCACTTCTCATCATTAACACATAATGTGGACAAATTCATTTGATAGACTGATATACCGATGTGTTACACAAATCGGATTATAAACCAACCAACAAACAAACAAACAGCAGCTTTTGTCACTTAAGCCTAGAGTCGATTGTATCAGCTGAAATAAAGGAAATATTCCACCAATTTGAATACCACTCCAACTATCAGATCTAATTTGAAACTAGATGATTTATTGTTTGAATATGAAAACTAAACAAACTAAGCATCTGACATTCATTATGAAGGATACATGCTTATTTCATCTACACAACATTCACGAGATTATTTTCATTACGAGAACATTTGAGATAACACAGTAAACATCTGCTAAAATCTGATCTCACTGTGTGTGTAGGCACATACAATGTCACATCTAGCAATGACATGCTCGACACTAATCCTTGAAATTTTAAATATCGATCGTTTTCGATTTTGCAGGTGATACATTCAAGGCAATGTACCTGATACACTCGAATGGGAAGATATCTTTCTATTATGAGAACGTAAGTTGCACGAATAAATGGATTATTCTATTATTTCATGCATACCAGTATTGCCAAATACATCGAAATATATTGAAAAGGATAAACCGATACCAGTAATTTGTATTGTGCATACACACTTTATGAAAATGTTCATAATCCGTTCATGGCACAGTTTATTCTAGCTTTTTTTTAATAAAATAATGAACAACAAAGAAGTGATGTAATATGTAAACAAATTCTGATACTTGCGAGCCAATTAAGGACAAAGAGTGTATGTCAGAGTTCTGTACATGAACGGTCATTTTCAGCTTTCTACAGACCGGTTGTTAGAAAAGTTCATAATTGATTATTTTGAGAGAGAGATGTTGTTAAAATCTTGATCGCTTCTCAGATTGTAATTGTTCGAATGTCACTATTTAGAGCTTGATCGATTTGTAATACGATAAATACTGGATGACTAGAAATGGCTGGTGAGATGATAAATTTTATGAGTGTTGAACTGAATCCGTCTTGTTTGTTTGAAGGTCATCAGAACAAATCGTGAAATGAATACTGTTAAGAAATGAACGGCAATTGATATAAATAGGCACATGAACACAATTCCACAACAGAACAACAAATTCACGTTCAGCGACATTGCAGTTATTCACAATCACACTTCTACCAGCTGACGTCGATATTCATCTTACTATGTATAGCCTCATTCCATGATAAATTGATCGTTCATCTAACTTCACTGAAGTTGTCAACTGAGGTGAGTCAGAGTAAATTAGATGGAGTATATTTCTTAGGGAACCGGGGAGATCAGTTTGCTTACTGTAAGTGTAATTAGTTGTCTTTGAATAAGATAATATGAATGACGACACGTTGCCTCAATGTTTGGTTGGTTTTGATATAATGGTTGTGAATTGACAGATCTTAACTCAGACTTCCATTACTTCTTTTCAGATTCCTAGTGGACTAAAGGAAGGCGATGTTGTATCGGGCATTATTTATCATATCTGGTGTGGGGATGGAGGTAACAAATGTTATTTACATTTTAATTTACATTGGCTTACATGATTAGTCATGTGTTAGCATGATGTCACCTGTTTGTACACAATCATCACTATGTCAACGTGAAGATTTTCTGTAATCCATAATGGTGACCGAATTTGTGTTTCTTACAGTCTACAATATTCAGTTGTTTTTTGTTTGTACAATAAAGCGATGGAAGTGTAAAGTTGAAGTGCTGAGGAAAATTGTGTGAAATAGAATCTGAATAATTTAGGCAAACTCACTGTCCTAATGTTACTGTGTATTGAAAATTCAACGTCAATTTGGTGTTTAGAAATCTTGAAGCAACATTCAAGTGTCACATGTAATAAAAATTCATAATCAAAACTCATCCTGAAAATATTTCTTATCTTTCGAATTGATACCAAAGTATTTGTATTCTCAATTCAACAACCGTCATCCTCGTTGATATCGCAAAGCAGATTTGAGTTGTTGTGATTCAATCGGAATCGTATTGTTTTATCGTTTTGTGCTAAGCTCCATCAAAAAGAATTTCAAGATCGACGTCAGCTGACGCTTGCCTAACTTGATGTACTGAGTAATATAATTAAGATGTGTGAATGTCTTCATCACGAATTGGCGGATAGATATTTGGAGAAGTCTTCTGTACAGTCTTACCGATCCAGACAGGAAAATATGAACGAGGATACTAGACAGACGATATATCTACTCATTTATTCACTAACTCACTAATAGACAGTCAAACTTGCAGCCTCTCAATATTGACTATTTCTGAAACAATTTGTAACGAGATAAACATATTTTCTCTGTAGATGTTGCACTGACACTTTAGTGAAACAAATCAGCAATTTGACGATATCATCTTTCATTTAGTGGTTGAACATCGGTCACTTTCAGAACCTTGTAGCGTGGCGTCGAGTTGCGGTTGACTATGAACACCGCTACCAAGAAACACGTGCCAAGTAGATCAGAAGGCGAAGGTTGAACGTAACCAAAGAAACCCATAAAATCCCCGAGAAGCCAAATACCAGAAGGCAATTAATGGACCAAGTCGATGTTTATTTGCTGGCGATCTCGTGGCATCGAAAGGATACTGAGATCGTGCCAGGATACAAGCTTGATTACAGAACGTAACCGAATTCGCGCGAAGTTACAATCGAAGTGTAAGAATAAGAATGGAAGCACAAAATAGCTGTCATTAGCACAGTCAAACAAAAGCACATTAAAACAAACACTGGTACAGTTGGTTATAATAATAATTGTTTTTATTAAACCAGTCGTGTTCTCGTGATAAATGTGAGTCACTACAACCCTAAGCGATGTAGAGCATATTTCATAAGGATGTTATTTGACAGTCATTGTATCTGTAATCAGATATTAAACAGTTTCTTAAACGAACAAACACTGTTATATCCAAAATGGAAATCAGAATTTTAACTGTCTTCTTCTGTACAATTAATCACTGTAGGTATTATAGGGCCTAGAGCAGATGTTCCTTTTAAATGGATCAGAAATGGAACGCTAGTGGAATACGAAGTTCTCGGGGGTATGTCAAACCTTATTTTATCAGAGTTGACTATTTTCACACTTGAATGCATCACCTTCGTTTCATAAAATTGGAAATTTCATGTATGATTTCAGACAGTTATTAAATGATATCAAGCCATTAGTCTCAACTGACTTTACACCAAACAACGACTCACTGTTGAACATTTAAAATGATTATAGACACATTTTGAGCTACAATAGAAGTTTTCGGTTTGATGAAATTTACTTGAACAAAATGTCACAAGACGATGGACGAGATGATATCAGTCAGTTAGTTGATTGTGCATTCACTGAGAAGTGTTATTTGACTTTCATTTTGTACATGCATTATCGAATTTCACCGAGGAATTGACATTACAGAAACACTTCATGAAACTGTAATTGCCTTGGAAACAATCGTTTAATTTTAAAAATCTCTACTTTATCCTACTCATCCGATAGATTGAAGGAGTAGAAAAATCACGTGTTCAAATTTCAATTTATCATAGTCAGTAAATATTTTTACAGTATCAAAAACACTGAGGGTTTTCACAGTATGGAAGCATTTCCTTTCTCCTGAATACGTACAGTGAATAACCACAAACATTGATTTGTTCATCATGTATTAAACTATTGAAATAATATTTCAACAACAGAGAGAATCATTCCATAATCTGATGTCCAGTTCGACTTCAATATTCAATGACTAGAATATTTTTCATTATCGACGAATTTTCATGAACCAACGAGTCTAACATGCTAACTGATGACACACAGAGTAGAATATAGCCACATGAAATATTTCAATCATAAAGCAGGAACGAGATTCGTTGAATGTCAAGCGGATACATTTCTTTTCTAATATTTACAGTCATTGACATCCGTGACATTCGCCTGACAAATTTCATCGTTCAACATGCAACGCAATCTTATTTAATTTCAACATGTTTTCAGGAAATGTGAATCACATTGAAAGTGTATTGAATTTCGGATTGAGCAATGTGATGACAAATGCCCAGAGAATGAAATACTCATTTAACTCCAAAATCGCCATCATTGAGTTACAGTTACATTTGTATTTGTAATTCATTTATCTTTTGTTTGATAACTTGAAATGCAATCACCTTCTTTTTCCTTTCACTGAAGATTGTCCAAATTACAATTCGACTGAAGCATGTCATGGCGCAACATCAGATACAACGTGTATTTGGTGTAAATCAGCCAATATATGCACTACTAGCAATCATGAGGATGTTCATGTCTTCGAAGTTAATGGTTGCCAAAAAAAAGTAAGCAGTTGGTAGACCTCAAAGATTGTTCTTAATATTACGATATTCCAAATTGCAATCATTTTTTTCGGAAGAACATTTGTATTGTTACGAATTAGTAGTGATTTCTAGTGTACCCCAAGTGCATAAATCAAAGTAACTTATACGATATTGAAGCACATATGAATGCAAAGCTCTATTTCCATGTGGAAAGTTGTTAATTCATCAGCTCATAGAATGTGTGGTGATTCCCGATGTTCTATTTGAAACCGTATATCCATGTGAACTGTTGAAGAACACAGATGAAATCAGTTTGAATGATGAAGCGTAATCTTTTTAAAATTGTGTAGCATTTTCGGATAATGAGTGAAAGTTGGTATTCCCATTGTTGAAGTGCAGAACATGTATTTATGAACCAACAACTCTAGCAACTAGTGAAACTGATCTAAGAAATGAATTGAAGAAGACTAGTGGAAGTGTGGTGGTCGGTATTCGATATAATCTTTAAACTTCGTATACAGCTCGTCTTGATAATCGTTCTATATAACGTTACTTACTTACTTACGTCTGTTACTCCTCGTGAAGGAGCATAGGCCGCTCACCAGCATTCTCCATCCAACCCTGTCCTGGGCAATCCTTTCCATCTCCTTCCAGTTGTAATTCATCCTTTTCATATCTGCTTCTATTATCCGACGTAATGTGTTCTTTGGACTTCCTCTTTTCCGCTTCCCTTCAGGATTCCAAGTTAGGGCTTGCCTCGTGATGCAGTTTGACGATTTGCGTAATGTATGTCCTATCCATTTCCATCGTCTTTTCCTAATTTCTTCTTCAGCTGGAAGTTGGTTTGTTCTCTCCCACAGAAGGCTATTGCTGATGGTATCCGGCCAATGGATGTTGAGTATCTTGCGTAGACAGCTATTTATAAATACTTGTACTTTCTTGATTGTGGTTGTTGTAGTTCTCCAAGTTTCAGCTCCATACAGTAGAACTGCCTTGACGTTCGTATTGAAGATTCTCACTTTGATATTGGTTGAAAGTTGTTTTGAGTTCCATATGTTCTTCAATTGTAGGAATGCGACCCTTGCTTTGCCGATCCTCGCCTTTACGTCTGCATCGGATCCTCCTTGTTCATCGATGATGCTTCCCAGGTATTTGAAGGACTCTACATCTTCCAGAGTTTCGCCATCAAGTGTGATTGGATTGCTGTTCTTCACTTTGAATTTGAGGATCTTGGTTTTCCCTTTGTGTATGCTGAGGCCTACTGATGCAGAGACTGCTGCTACACTGGCTGTCTTTATCTGCATCTGTTCGTGTGTACGTGATAGGAGGGCTAGGTTATCTGCGAAGTCCAAATCGTCTAATTGGTTCTGAGCTGTCCATTGTATTCCGTGTTTTCCTTCAGATGTCGAGGTCTTCATAATCCAGTCGACCACCAGAAGAAAGAGGAAGGGAGAGAGTAGACAGCCTTGTCTGACTCCGGTCCTTACTTGGAACGCATCTGTCAGCTGTCCTCCATGCACTACTTTGCACTGTAGTCCGTCGTATGAGTTCCGGATAATATTGACAATCTTCTCAGGAACTCCGTAGTGTCGAAGAAGTTTCCATAATGTCCTCCTATCTACACTGTCGAATGCCTTTTCATAATCAATGAAGTTGATGTATAGTGATGAGTTCCACTCAACTGATTGTTCGACGATGATCCGTAGTGTTGCAATTTGGTCTGTGCACGACCGATCCTTACGGAATCCAGCTTGTTGATCTCGAAGTTGGGCGTCCACTGCATACTTCATCCGGTTCAGCAACAATCTGTTGAAGACTTTCCCTGGTATTGACAGTAGTGTTATGCCTCTGTAGTTTTCACATTTGCTCAGATCTCCTTTCTTTGGAATCTTGACGAGGTGTCCTTCTTTCCAGTCCATCGGCACTTGTTCCTCCTCCCAAATCTTTTTGAATAGAAGATAAAGCATGCTTGTGGTTGCTTCGATGTCTGATTTCAGTGCTTCAGCTGGTATGTTGTCGGGTCCTGCTGCTTTCCCGTTCTTGATTTGTCTGACGGCCATTCTAATTTCTTCCGTAGTTGGTGGATTGACATCTATAGGAAGATCTATGTGTGCTGCTTCGATGTTCGGTGGATTCATTGAAGCCGGCCTATTCAGGAGTTCCTCGAAGTATTCTACCCATCTGTTACGCTGTTGTTGAATTTCGGTGATTGGCTTGCCTTCTTTGTCTTTGACCGTCCTCTCTGGTTTACTGTATTTCCCTGATAGTTTCTTCGTTGTATCGTAAAGCTGTTTCATATTTCCTTCTCTAGCAGCTTTTTCTGCCGTCGTTGCTAGTTCTTCCACGTATTTCTTCTTGTCGGCTCTAATGCTCCTCTTCACTTGTTTGTTTGCTTCTATGCATTCAGCTTGTGCTTGGACTTTCTCTGCTCGTGTTCGGCTGTTGTTTATTGCTGCCTTCTTGTTCTTCCTTTCTTTGATCTTGTCCAGTGTTTCTGTAGAGATCCATTCCTTATGATGGTATTTCTTTAGACCCAGAACCTCTTGACACGTTGAAGTTAATGCTTCCTTGATGCCTTGCCAGTTGTCCTCCATAGTAGTTTCTTCTTCTTTCAGTAGATCTTGTAAGGCTTGGAACCTGTTGTTAAGAGCTATCTTGAATTCATTGAGTTTGTCAGTATCTCGAAGGAAGGCTGTATTGAACCTTTGTATTGCTGTTTGTCCACTTGTCCAGTTCTTTTTTAGCTTCAGTTTTAAATTGGCTACAACTAGGTGGTGATCTGAAGCTACGTCAGCACCTCTCCTGGTTCTCACATCTTCCATTGTCCTTCGGAATTTTTTGTTGATGCAAATATGATCTATTTGGTTCTCTGTAGTGTGGTCCGGTTAGATCCATGTAGCCTTGTGTATACGCTTGTGTGGAAATATTGTGCCTCCTATGACCAATTTGTTGAATGCACATAGATTTGCAAATCTTTCTCCATTTTCGTTTCTCTCTCCCAGTCCATGTCGTCCCATAATATCTTCACATCCAGTGTTGTCTATTCCGACTTTGGCATTTAGATCTCCCATCAGAATAGTTAGGTCCTTTCTTGGGCATTTCTCAATAATTGACTGCAGCCGCTCGTAGAACTGATCTTTAATGTCGTCGTTGCTATCATTGGTGGGTGCATAACATTGGATAATATTCATTGTGATCCCCTCCTTCTTTGTTTTGGATGATGCTTTGATGATTCTGGATCCGTGAGATTCCCATCCTACAAGTGCATTTCGTGCTACTTTGGACAGCATAAGAGCGACTCGCTGAGTGTGTGGAGCATTGTCCTCTTCGTGACCAGCATCTCTCCCGTAGCTAGCCTTTTCTGTCCAGTTTGGGTCCAGTGGGTTTCGCTGATCCCCAGTACTGCTAAGTTGTATCTCCTCATTTCCATTGCTATTTGACTTGTCTTCCCGGTCTCCCACATTGTTCGAACGTTCCATGTACCTATAAAAAGTTTTGCTCTGGTTGTTAGAAGGGGCATCGGCCTCGTGGCTTCCGAAGGAACTCGGCTTTCACCATGAAGCGTCATAATTCTTCTAAATGAAGATCTTCTAACTCCCAGGGCAGAGTTAAAATGGTTTGGATTATTTTTTCTGGTAAGCGTTTTTTTAGCGAGTTAGTTTTCTACGGGATGGGGACGCTAACCCCATGCCCAACCCTCCTCCTTTACCCGGGCTTGGGATCGGCAGCAACCCTATAAGAGCTACAGGCGGAGTTTCTATATAACGTCCCAACGGTTTATTAATCAGAAGGCAAATACGAAATGTTGATTACGTTTATTACGAGACCACACACATATATCCAAATGTACAGATGCGTTAAACAAGCATAGAAGAGTTGTGCCGAAAGGCAAGCAAGCGAGCGAGAGCCATAGCAAGAGCGAGACGAGAGTGTGTGAGTGAGTGAGTGTGTTGAATATGAATAACATGGACATATATATACCATGTGAAATGGATGAGTAATCGAATCAAATAAGCAGTTAGTAGTAAGACTAGCAGAGTGAATAAATGCGTAGGCCGTAAGCAATATTCAAGCATACGTATTTCATACAAGCACAAAATAATAAGGGTACAATAAGTTGTTATATTGCGGATGACTTTGTCCGCTAAATGAGTTAGCAAAAGGGCTTAACTGCGTTAGATGAGACTAAACTCATTTGCACGTGAGTCGCTATAGAACCACTGAATCAAATTTGGTAAATATTTGATATTTTTGTGATCATTATACTATTTCGTTCATTTCAGAACATGACTACAGATACAACTGTAGACATCGGGGAAAGAAAATCACCTCAATACGTGTACATCGTTGTACCATTAGTTATATCTTTCCTTATTGTTTGCATTGGGTGCGGTATTTGGCTATGGTTCCACAGAAGGAAGAGAGTTTATCCATAGTCCCCACAAACAGCTTGTCAATTGTTTTCATTAAGTGCACTGTGTTATATTCATTTTCGTAGTTTATGAAATACACTTTCCATTTTGTTAATCATTTCAATACATTGAAGATTGTTTCATGGAACTGCATATCACATTGATGATTGTTTACGTAATGACTGATGTCACTTTGTTGGTAGAATATAATTGTTTTGTATTTATGTCATTGTTTTCATTCATTGGAAACATGGGTAATTTCACGAGATTGCAACATTGCACTTGTCAATTAACACTATCGTGTATGCGTGATTATGTGACCATTGAAATCAGCCAAGAGTCCGTTGTAAATGTCCATTTTATTAGAGTCTCAATACTGAGAAATATCACTCGAAATTGACGTAATTCATTGTTTCAAACTAAACTGTCGGAATGCGGCATCAATATTTAACAAAGCACCTCAATCCTTCGTTATTTGAACTAATTAGTGGATGGTCTAGCTGATACCCAAGTATGATTGAAAAAAGATGTAGTGTGAATGATGAACTAGTAACGGTTCTGCCGTAACATTGGCAATAAGATGAGAGATTTGAAAGAAACATACTGAAGTGTTTTCGTCAATGATTGATCACATTATTAAACATAACTTGGCTAATAATCGGTCCTATTCTCATGGTTTTGTGACAAACTAGTCGACAAAAAGTCATTTGCACTAGGTGTTCGAATGTTCTCATTAGTGTTTAGGACAGAGAAGTGTTCAGTCTTTTCATGTTATATGTGAATCATGTGCGAGCTGCTACGACACTGCCATAAGGTCACGAAAAATAAAAGCAGAGTTTGTTAGTGGCCAGCAATGAAATCCATGACACGCGTCACTTCGTCACGTTTGAGACTCGTTAGCTAGCTGAATCTGCATCACAGAATTGATATGTCACTGCTTTACGCATGCTCCATATCGCTTATTTCAAACATCGTCGCGTCATCCACTAAGCTACTCAGTATGGATACCCACTGGCTCCTACAAACAACTTCAATGTAATATATATAATGTGGTGAACACAGACATGATAAATATTTGTCCTGTGGCAGTCTGCATTCCCAAACGTCATTACTTCTCCGTGATGCTGAATGCTTGAAGTATGAAAAAGTTGTCAGATGATGATGGTATGTTAAACTACTGTTCATTTCGTTGATGATGATTCCAAGCCCCGTTATTAAATCTTAATGAGATTGGAGCATTCAATGATAATAATCCATATCTAATCATGATGCTTAAGGTTGTTTTTTCCACATAAAACGGCGATTATATACCACTTTTGGTTCGTTCCATAATTCGATTGTTGACAAACGCAGTATACAGTTTCGTTATTTTATACAAAACTTTGACTTTACAAAGTCACAAAGTGAACCTGCCTTCAATAGCTTTCAAAGAAGATTCCGATGCTTTGATTGAACATTTCATGGCCGAGTGCGCTAAGTGCTGTGGATGGATAAGAATTCATTCCTCAACGTTGAATTCCCATTTGTTGAAGCTAACGCGCACCACAGGTGATGCTGCAGATATGTTTAGTCAAGCTCATTGTTCTAGAGTGTGCAGTGAAGCTGATTTGAAGTAAGTCCTTGTTCGCATTCTTCTGGATAGACGTTTATCAGATTTGACAACGACTATCACTCTTCGTGGTCAATTCAAATATAGTTCCCTTCCATTTGGTTTAAGTTGTTCTCCAGCCACATTTCATGAAGTGGCCCATAATGCAGTCGATGATCTTAAAAGTGTTGATGTTTGTCCAGATGATCTCAATCATTATGGTTTTCATAAAATATCTCACGGTCAGTGGCATACTACTCTCTTCGTAGTCTGCTTGAGAAAAAATCATCATTAAGTCAAATGAAGTTTCATTTTATGTGTTTGGTATTGAATGTCTTGGATATTAATCTGGCATTAATGATTCTAGACCAGATATGAGGCGATAAGCTTCACTTACAATTTCACCATCTCTAAAAACTTCATTCAGCATTCATTGGGAAACTATATTTCATTTTATCATGCTCTCGGTTTTACAAAATGTTTACAACTATTGAGAAATGTGCATGTTCCTCTATCTTTCATATCACTCCAGTTCATATTTGTCTATATTACTGAATGTAATTGGTCATTCACTTCTTCACAATCAACATGTAGATCATCATCGTTTTGCAATCTGCATCGATGATCATTGTTTACTCGAGTTGGGTGGGAATTATGTGGACTTCTATCCTAAATCAAAGTCACACCTTCCTGTTAATTAGTATCGTGGACTACCAGTCTTTGATGATATCTATGCACTGTGACTGTAGTGAGTGAGAACTCAGGTGTGAATGACCAGTTTATTGTTAGTTGCACAATCACAGAGTGTCTTCATATAATATTAAAACCACACATTCCACACTTCGCTTGCATGTCTTCCGGAAGTTGACTCTTACTCACTTCATTGTTCATTTATTCCAGATGAGTTCAACTGTGTTCAATGTGAGGCAGTAACCTACCAAAAACAATGGTAGATGGTCGCGCAATGTCGTGAATTGGTTGAAGTTAAACGTGAACACCATTGAATGCTACTCAGTAGCAAGAGACTGAACGTTCCCACAAGACTGAAGGTATTAGATTCGATTTCCGCTTTCATGATTGTCGATAGGTACTGTTATGGGATTTTGTAATACAACAAACAGGCTTCTGAATGATTCCGGGTTTTTAATACAGTTCCAACATTTATCGGTCCATGATTTCAATCAAAAATCATATATCCTGCAATCCATCTTGTTTCATTAACAAAGCGTCACACATTGTGTTTATCGTAATCATTTTTGTAGACTATGTGAAGAATTAAAATTTTCGTTTCATGATGATTGTAACGGTGATATTTCAGTTTGAATTTTCATCCATACCACTGACTGTGAAATATTTTATCTATAAATACTGTGGAAATATTTCCGCGGTACGTTACTCGTGAAGTTCACATTGTGTTCACTAGAACAACTTTGCTTCGTTATTCGAAAAAGCTGTCAAGTAAAGTACATTAACAATTCGTTGATCGGTCAGTATTAAGTCAAGCAACATTGAACGCTAACATCAACCTACTCAACCTTTGTTTCAACTAAATCGTTTCACAAACACTTTTGACAATCGAAAGTATATGAATACTTATTTATAACTGTTGCATTACTAGAGGCCACAGGCAATATCCAAACCGAGAATTCAACAGTTGTTTTATGAGTACAACGAGCTTAAGGTTGTACGGTTACTTCCACAATCGAAGTTTGTTCAAAGCATAACATTATTCTCAGACTAATATACCCATCTTCATATATTGAGTGATATTTTAGCAGGGTTCTAACATTGGACAACATATCTCATCATAATGAAATAACCGCTTCCATAATAAGCACTCAGTTCATCATTCTTAGTGTGAAAGAACTAGTCTTGTAAAGTATCACAGCTTTTATCCCTCCACCTTAAATAGACGTTTTTAAACTGATTTCTTTTGCTTTCAACTCTTCTCTTTATCCAACATTAATTTCACAAAGAATAATTCGTTTACACACATTTGTCACTGATGTTTTGAATGGACTAATACTTCCTGTAAGATCCATTTTGATGGTTTTGTGTGTGTGTGTGAAAAACCTTCCATGTATACATTTGTAGTTTGTTCCTATTGTTGTTCGTTTAGTTGTACATTTTGTTATTCTTTTTGATTCCATTTCAGTTGGTCATATTTGTATTTTATTATAGTTTTTATTTTTCTTACGCCTTCACTAAGTTTCCATGTTTCTTGCTGAACTGCATTTATGTTGTGTTTACTTGATACGAAGTCTTGGCAGCCCCCATATTGGTTTGTTCCTACTTTTGATTATGTTGCTTGTATTGACTGGAATTTTGCATTTTTGATTGTGAATTGAAGCACACCTCCAGAATTCAAAACACTCTGTGTTATAAAGCAATCAAATAGTATCTTTTGAACGAATCTGTGCGTGATCCAACCAGACAGGATGGAATAACATTGATTTGTTGCGATTGGTAAATTTTGCTCATCCTTTATCCACTTCCTTATTTATTGTAAATAAGATTGGATTCATCGAACAATTATTGTCTGAATAGCTGGGTGATCATATTTGTTTAGGTATAATGAATTTCAGAAATATCATTTTAACCAATCACATTGTTTTGCTTTCAACCGGGCAAGGGCGCGTATCTTACCCACCTAGACAGTTATTCTTCAGTCCAAACCTTAGTTTGCATATAACACCTCCAAGAATTTGTACGTTAATTAAAATGAAGTATCTTTCAAATTATGAAAACAAAACTTATGTACCAGAAAATTTACGAAGTTATAGAAGGTTTCTAACATCATTCAGATTTGCTCTAAATGGAGTGTTAGCGTTAATACTGGAATATATGTGAGACTATTCTTTTTCTAACAAAATTTTCATTATAACATCATCCCGCGGGGTGCGGGATCGTGGATGCGCATTGCTGAGGAGTCCCATACTAGGATGAAACGGCCGTCCAGTGCTTCCAGGTTTTCCATGGTGATCTAGTTTCAATTGCCTCGTGATTTCAAGCTGTGGAATTTCTAAAAATCTCCACAAAACCCCTTCTGAAAATGTCTATTTGTCTTTTCCACTGATCACTTTCCCTGTCGAGAATATAATTTATAGACGGGCCAATCGGATTTCGCATAACAGGTCTTGAATTCGGGCACGAAATTCACTCATTCATTCGGTCATATAGGGCGTCTTGGCATTTTAGCTGATGTCAGTTCGTGATGAAAAACCATGATTCTAATTCCTAACTCTAACCATCAATTGTGAATCATAATCCATATTCTTCAAACTGCTTTACAACTCTGATTTAGCCCTAGTAGATAGGTAGACACTGTCAAGATCAGCTTGGTGTAGGAGTAGGTTGGAAGAAAACTAGAGGCGGCTAAACCAAAACATGGCACAAATCCATGAAGTCACTGACAACTGGACTGAGCCATGTTGGTAGATGTAGACTACCTGTTTCGGAATTCACGAGACGATAATAACCGATGGTTAGAGACCTTGAATAACATGGCTCAAAATTCGTTTGCAATAATGCAGGTGCATTCACTCTTTGTCTTCACCCATATTTCAATCTTCTGAATTCTTCCAGTTCCTTTATTTTTTCTCTTTCCGAATTTATTTCCCTCGGTCATACTCCTTGAATAAAATCTTCAAAACTTAGTGTTCCCGATTACTGCTTATACTTTTACTACGTCTACCACTATGGGATTTGAATCGACAACTGCATCTCTGTGCTAATGTGGTATGGCAAATTGAACTAATGTACGTACGTACGAAGTTCTACGTTGTTGCTGACTGACTGATAGCTATTCACCAGTTTAAACCTAACCTTTGCATATAAGAAACAGTTTGTTCAGTCTTTCATTCTTCCATGATCTTGACCTACCTTTCAATCTTCCATAATCGATTGTTTGTTCGTTTTTTAAGAAAAAGAAAGATTATTTGTACTCCTTTCCACTATTAATTCACCATTATGACACCTTCTAATTACTTTGTTCTTGTTACCTATTAGGTGGACAATTATCTTCACCTTATCTCTTTTCACTACCCGATTAATACATAACTCCTATTCAATATCTGATTTTCATAAATCATTCTGATAAGTCTTGCAGATTGAACGCTATATTCGTTTCCTAAACCATTCTGTAACCCCCAAGCTAGAACTATACAGCGACGTGAACAACGCGATATAAGATGCAAAGTATGCGAGAAGTACTTTACTCTAAAGTGCATTTCAGAAAAAGAAAATACGAGTTTTTTCTCTTTCAAATGTCCTTGGGTTGCTAGAAGATTCTGGAATGCTACTACACAAAGTGGCAGTGTAGCAATCAGCCAATCAGAACCTCTGCATGTGACGTTTCACTTCCTTGATATTTTTGGCTAAAACTTCAAGTGAACACTGATTAAATGAAACGCTTCTTAACGTTTTCTGATGCTTGCTTGCCTTTTGCAAGAAATTTCCTGGATCACTCCAACACATTCATGTCAAAGCACCACTTCAAGTTGTTGTTTTCATTATTCAACATCATTCTATATTATTATAGACTACTAGTATTAACTATACATAGGATTGTATGGAAAATTCTCTTCGCGGAATTGCTTTTGGTAAACTGCACCGTTATTAGAGAAAATTTCCTTTTCTGAATCACATAAAAATGCCAAAATAGATACCTTTCATAGTTTGAAACAAATGTATCAATCATATTCTCATATTAACTATTCTATACCAGATCCTAGTGGAGGAAGAAGCGCTGGAAATGGATAGGACACACATTGAGGAAAGCACCCAACTGTGTGACAAGGAAAGCGCTCACTTGGAATCCTCAAGGTCAAAAGAGCAGATGAAGACCAAGAAACACATTACGCCGAAAAATGGAGATAGACATGAGAAGAATGAACTACAATTGGGTAGACCTAGAAATAAAGGCCCAGGACAGAATGGGTTGGAGAATGCTGGTCGGCGGTCTATGCCCCATTGGGAGTAACAGGCGTAAGTAAGTAACGTTGAGAGTCAGATGTTTTAAACTGATTCATATAACAGAACCATTGAATAAATTTTACAGTATTATTATTATCATTAGGCGAATCAAATAATATATATTGTATAATGAGTTACCGGATACTTTATTGAATTAAAGATGTTACGTATTTCATTTCGTCAATATAGTTCTAAAAAGGATAATTTCATGAAAGATAATGATTTTCGGCCACGGAACAACAACTTTTATCTTAAATTGTCCAGAAAGGTTTATTCCCCCTCTATCTCGAACCCAGGACCACGAACGCATAACCAGTATCCAAAAGTGTTAATGTCTAACTTCGATCAACACATGATCATGTGCAACACTTCGTCGATTGTCTGAGATAGATACCTGTCTCTACTCGACGCACCTTCTCATTACAACCCCAGGAGTCCCATCTTGAAGCTAGTCACTGATGAGCACATGATCGTTAGTGTGGGAACGTCTGTTAACCGCGAGGTTCTGTGACAGTGTATGTCATTGAAAGGCGCACCCCAGAAGTACATAAACCTTGTAAAGGCTCTTTACTCGGACACTACTAGTGGAGTCAGAGCTTATGGCGAACTGCCATCTGATTTTTCAACATCAAGTGGTGTCTGTCAAGGCTGTCCACTTTCTCTATTTTTGTCTAACTTCATCATAGACCTACTGATGGAAATAATGTTCTCGTCGATTGAATTCTTTGGCACTGATCTCCTTCCAACAGGTCCACTAATCGACTGACAATACGCAGCTGATATAGTACTGTTTGGTGGAGACATTGATTAAGTGCAGTCTTTTGGTAGCACTGAGCAACAATGTCAGAATGTCTGAAATGAGTTCCTCCCTCTCTAAATGTAAGTTGTTGCTTCAGGACTGGCCTGCATCAACACCTGAACTAAGGATAGGGAGTGAAGTAGTCGAACTCGTTGACAACTTCACTTATCTTGGAAGTCTGATCAGCCTTAATGGGTTGGTGTCTGACGAAATCTGAGCACGGATTCGAAAAGCTCGTTTGGCTTTTGCCAAATTGCGTCACCTCTGGCGAAGAAGTATCAGTCTATCAATTAAGGGACAAATATGCTGTGCAGTAGATCGTTCTGTTCTAAATTACGGCTACGAAATGTGGCCATTAAGAGTAGAAGATACTCGTAAGTTACTAGTATTTGATCACAGATGCCTTAGAAATATTGCTCATACATGCTGAAATCACTAGGGTAAATAATGGCAAGGTTAGACGCACTGTATTAGATAATGATGGTAAGTCAGTTGATGAGGTTGTAATTCTTTACCAACTGAGATGGTTGGATCACGTGTTACGTATGCCTGAACACCGATTACCACGATGCGCAATGCTAACCGGTGTTAGGGATGGTTGGAAGAAAGTTAGGGGCGGCCAAACCAAAACGTGGCATCAGTGCTTGAAGTCACTAACTTCTGGTGTGAGCCATATTCGTAGATACAGACTACTTGGACCGATGTATATATGTGCCTGGTTCTACATTGTAGCTGACTGACAACAACAAGTCAGCCATTCAATGCTTCCAGGTATTCCATAGTGGTCTAAATTAGATCGATTCATGAATTCAACTGTAAAAATTCAAATTTCACCAACATCCATATATAAATATATGATTATTATTATTATTATATTCAAATGATTATAACCAAAATGTTAGAAGTAGTAGTAGTAGTACTACTACTACTACTCAAGTATACAGTAGTATTGATAATGTTAATAGAAATTTTTATATAAAAAAAAACGAAAAAAAGAAGGAAAAAAAAGCGAAATCTTCTACTCAATTGATAAATTTAAGAAAATATCAACATGATAAGTGAATGGATACATGAATGTTTACAAAGGAAAAACAAACAAACAAACAAGTAAGTAAGTAAACAATTAAACAAACATCATCACTTTACTTGATTGAATTTAACCATATTCAAAACCAGCATTTGCATTTAATGCATATAATAAACGTTCACGTAATAGTTTTATATTACGAAAATTAGGTAATTTTAATAAATTTGTACATGTACTTGCAGTTGGTAAACGTTCAATTTCATCAGTAATTTGTATTGAAAATGGTGGTTGTAATTCACGAAAACCAAACATTGGTGGACGTGAACATGCAGTAACAAAACGTAAAAATGAACGTTTATCAGATTCTGAAAAATTATGTAATACTGACCAAAAACAATCTAATGTTTCAGTATAATTTAATGAATCTTGAAAAAAAGAAAAGAAAAGAAAAAGTTATGATAAAGAAAAACAAAAAGAAGAAAAATAGTTTTATAATGATGATGAGAAATTTATTGAAGCTGCTTCTTCAATTCTTGAAGTAATAATAACATTTAAAAACAACAACAGCAGAAAAGATTTGATTTAAGAACATCTAAACGCCCTGGTAAAGCCGAGGGTGGGGAGAGTCAACTCTCCTTTTCGAAATGCTCTAAAATGACCACGTGGTTAATATAACCACTACCAGGGACGTCCTATTCACTGCCTTTCCACAGCGGAGGGGGGTGTTGTTTATGAAATTGAGAGGACGGAAACAGAATGTCTGGTGCTTTAACCGGGTTGGTGGACAGAGAGAGTTGGAAAAGCCTGATTCGAAATCAATAGCGCACATGGACTCCAGGATCCTAAGGAAACAAATGGAATATGAACCAATTGTTGGTGATCGGCTACAATGAGACTACGTCTCCTGACGTTGCTTCACCGCCTTGTGGATTAGACCTTTAGGTCAAAGGCTCGGAGTGTGGCCCCTTAAAAAACCACCTGCTTCTGTTTGGGCACCCGGGCAGTATCACAGTTCACATACAAATCAAGTGACTTATCTGGCGCATATGTATTCGGCGCCCCTTCGTATCAATATTTATGTGTTCAAATAATAATACAATAAACAAAATGATAATTTGATCCAAGCACTGTCATTTATTTTTCACATTCTAACTTGTTTTAATTATCATCTCATTCAACAATTGTTGTTCGTTCATGTGGTATGGGATAACAACAACGACAACTTGAATACGAGAGAAAAGGTGTGAAATGTGAGAAGAAGGCTTTACCCCAAGGTTAGTTTATATACAGAAAATCGAAGGTATTTGTAACATTTCAGATGACCATGGGCATCTCGAACCCTAATAAACATAGCAGCAGGATAGATAATCATCGAGTCAGAAATATGATGTTTCTGAGTAACCTCGATTCAATGCTGATTGCATAAAAAATTTTCTCAGCGTTTTCAAAGTCCATTTGGGCTCTTTTTCGAAGAATATTCTGGGTCTTCCAAAAAATACCAAAGAGACCGTAGATGTTCTAATTTCTGTCAACACATGTGATAAACAAACGCTTCAATTTTACATTCATCTTAGCAGTATCCGCTGTCTTCATTGATTTAAATGAAAATTCTAAGTGTACATACCGATGCCTTTAGTGTATCATAAATTATAGACAGGAAATTATTTACTATCAGCTCGACTGATGATTGTCCAAACCATAGAGTGATCTGATGATACACTTATTAAAAACTCGATTAGGTGTTATAATGATTATGGTTGTGAAATCCATTCAAACATCAAATATAACACTGCTAACTATACAGAAGTACAAGTCAATAAAGCATCTTTATTGTTTAACGGTACTATGCGATTATAAATCACCAGATAGCTGAGCACATTCGTTTGGTGGATAACAAACTCGCCTCTAATAGCGATAGATACATAGTTTAAATCTCAGTGTGAACATTAAGACTGAGATAAGGATAAATCTAGCTGAACTGAATGTCTATCCTGGAGATCCAACTGTTTAACAAAAGTCAAATCCATCAGCAATTAAAAAATCTATCAAGCAGCTGTTCGTGGTAAGGTAAACACACATAAGAGGAGATTGATCAATTACAGTCTTAATTATCAATTGCTTTCAACTATTTTCATGTCCATTTGATCAAACAAATTCCAAAATTATTAGGTTTACATATTTCTTTTATTTTAACCCTTTAATGATTCTTTTGTATCACGGCCTACAAATTCATTTTATATTCGTTTTTTCTCATACTTCTTGACAAACAAACATTAGTGACTAGCTTCGTGAGAAAATTCTCGGAGTTCTGGTGAGAAGCCGTGACCAGTGGAGCTAATCCGTGTCGGGGAGAGATAGGTATCTACCTTAGTACAATGGAAGATCTTCGCGCAAATTCGTGGATTGCATGAGGTTAGACAATAACACCATTGGATGCCAGCCGGCTTAATGGTCCAGTAGGTCAAGCGTTCGCGCACAAGACCGAGGGCCCCGGGTTCGGGCCCCGCGAGCAGAATCGTGGATGCGCACTTCTCAGGAGCTCCACAATAGGACGAAACGGTCGTCCAGTGTTTCTAGGTTTTCAATGATGGTCTAATATCAATCGGTTCATGATCTCAATCAAAAGATTTATGAAATGTTATCAAATTATATTACTGACAAGTAACTAATCATTTTTGTTCACTTTTTTTTATCTAATCATCTCTAGAAATCAGATCGGATGCATTGGTTTCATTTGTAATGGTTAATACAATTAATGATGATTAACTGAATTGAATCTCATGTGTAATTTCTTACCACTGAGGAGTTTCATTCAACCATAATGAAAAAGAAGGTATTTCATTTCTGAATATTCAACCCTTCTTTTAACATTAGTGATGCAAATTATTTTCGCGTAATTTATATTATTTGTTCAATGAAATATCAAAATGAGTATCTGTATTGATGCGTTTAGTGAATGTGAAGAATATCGGTTTTCATCACATCGAATGGTCAGCCTTAGTTCCTAAATTATAGTGTTTAATCTTGAATGACTATATCTGTATGGCAATGAGAATGATTAAAATTTCAAACAAATATTAATTTCAATGGTTGAGATCATGAGTCCATTGACCATTGAAATTACTAATAATATACACAAAACCCTTCTGATATTAATCAACATATGCTCACTAGTAACTGGATTCAAGAGGTATAACCTGGAGTTATAGTGAGAAGCGGCGATCAATGGAGTTCAATCAGGTCTGTTGTGAGATGGTAACTCACTGATGACAATGGTGGATGTGTGGCTCAATTGCGTGGAATGATTGAAGTTAAACATTAACACTGTTAGGTGCCAGTCGGCTCAGTGGTCTAGTGGTTAAGTGCTCGCGTGCGAGACTAATAGGTCCTGGGTTCGAATCTCGCGAGGCGAGGTCGTGGATGCGCATTGCTGAGCCCCACAATAGGACAAAACGGTCGACCAGTGCCTCCAGGTTTCCATGGTGGTTTAGCTTCAATTGACTCATGATCTCAACCGCTGAAATTACTATAATACCAACAAAACCCTTCTGATATAAATATTAATTTCTAAGTAACATTTCGATAGTTGCTAGCAATGGAATCCAGGATATGGGTTTTGTTCTATCTCGGACAAATCAACTGTATATATTTGTAGTCTGGTGTTGATGTTCACATTAAGACCAAGACATCAATGCCTTTCGCTTCAAACACCCGCTGTTAGCCATAATCAAAACTCCATTTAACAATATTGATGAATTAATTGATGTGTATTGAGATAATCTGACCAGGCTTTATATATGCCAAAAGGAGACAGATCAATTGTAGTCGTCAACATCAACTACGGTACCATACCGCTTGTTATTTCGACTGTCTGGCAATACAATTTTTCGAATTTCCTGTTGCTCTCTCTTCGAAGTATTGATGTAATGTAAAAGTATAGCTTGGTGAACAATGAGTACTTCAACCAATAAGTCACTATCACCAACCATTGCTTTAATAATAACATTTCAACGTATATACATACATACATACATACACAAAAACAGATAAATTAACATATTGTGACATACTTCCAATGTAGAATGTATGCTGTTTTAAATCATTCACATCGATTACCATATCTGCTCCAGATATAAGAGTTTGTAATTCTTCTGCATCAAAAAGACGTACCCAATCAATTGGTATGACATCATTTAATCCAGCAGTAAAAGCTCGTACTTGTGGATAAATCTTAAGTTGAAAAATTATTACATGTCAATAAAATTCATGCAATAATAGTTGTAAACAAACAGAGTAGTCTCATAGATGATATATTTACAATTCAACAAAATATATCAATGATAAATAGAAGATAAAATTATAGCCAGATACCTAAGAATTTTTAAGGTATCATAAAAATAGTATTTGGTTGTGGAGTGTTTGAATGAGATTGGTTTAGTTTATCAGTCAGTCAGTAACCAAGTAGAACTTTGTACGTACGTACATTAGTTCAAAGCGAGAAAAGTAATTTCCATAGGCATAAAGAGTTCATCAATTTGTAGCCCGGATGCAATCAAGGATGAGTTTTACCATCAGTTATCTGTTCTTCTCCAGAAAGTGCGTTCGACAGATATTGTAGTACTAGCCGGAGAATTGAATACTCAGGTCGGGCGTCTAGGCACAGAAGAGAGTCGTTTGGGTGGCCAATGAGGACCTTTGGTCGCAGGACAGATAACGGAGACCGTCTACTGCAACTGTGCACAGACCACAACCTGTTTCTGGCTAGCACTAACTTTCGGCACAGTCATCGCCGATGTGCCACCTGGCGTCCTCCCTCTGCATCACAAGCCTGGACTCAGATTGATCACAGATTGATCAACACCTATCTGGACTCTGACCATGCCTTAGTCTGCACCAATCTTCCTTACTTTTCAGTGGACAACGAACTGACCGCCACCAACGGATTGATGTTAGCAAGCTGGTTGCAACTTCTGTTCCAAGTAAGTATCGAACCGAGCTAGCCTCTAGGCTAGCTACCACTCCACTGAAAAGTATAGATGATCATTGGTTGCAATTGCATGACGCCATGAAAATGGCGGGTACAGTCAGTTGTGGGTTCGCGAAACGTCCCGCTTTTAAGCACTGGGTTTCTCCAGGTTCCTTACAACTCATTGAAGCCCGTCGGTCTACTCCGGGTGACCGTGAGTTTGACCACAAACGAAGGATGTTACGTAAGGAAATCGGGCAAAGCTTGCGTAAGAACCGAGAAACATGGTGGTCGGAGCGTGCTAATGAGTTGGAAGCAGCAGCTGCATCTGGTAATTACCGGAAGCTCTTCCAACTCATCCGAGCCACTGGCAGCAAAAAGTCTGGTGTGAGCGAAACAATCTGCGAGGATGATGGAATGCCAATCACTAACATCCATCGACGTCTTGGACGATGGGCAGAATTTTTCGAAGGGCAGGTTAACTGGCCTGCTGCTCCGGCAACATCGGTCAGACTGTCCTGCTCTCCATGGCCGGTGACGACTGATCCACCAAATGAGGAGGAAGTCCGCAAGGAACTCCAACTCTTGAAGCGTTACAAATCACCTGGCCCAAATGACTTACCTCCGGCTTTTTTTAAAGATGGTGGTGACTTTCTGACTAAGGAATTGACGACGTTGTTTACAAAGGTTTGGGAACTAGAGGGTGTACCAACGTCATGGAATGAGTCGATAGTTGTCCCCATCTTTAAAAAGGGTTCACTTCGTTCCTGTAACAACTATCAGGGGATAAGTCTACTTCCGACTCTGGGACTGGCTGGAAGAAGCGGAGAGGTGGTCAGTGCATGACATGGTGTCGTGGTATGAAAGAAAGCTGCAAAGGACTGGCTTGTGTTGGTCCTTCACGACTCCCTGGTTGGGGTCCGAAAGATGGTGCAACTTAGTGGCTAGAAACGTTATCATACATGGCTCAGAATAGAAGGCAGTGGCGATCGTGCTGTAACCTTCTTTTACTTTCTTCATAAAAAGTGGTTGTGTCTCCCTTACCTGAAAGATTTCTTCCGATTGTACCTTTGCGTTCCCTCATTACTACCACACTACCTTACTCCAATCTCTTCGTTATTGTTCTCTTCTTTTTTTTCTATTTCTCTTCGAATTCTCATTGTTTTGTGTGGTGCATATATATTGGCGCTCTCTTGTACCAATATTTATGTGTTCAAATAAATAAATAAATACATTAGTTCGAGTTCCCATACCACATTAGCACAGAGATGCAGTGGTCGACTCAAATTCCGTAGTGGTAGAGGTAGTAAGAGTATAACTAGTAATCCAAAACACTAGGGTTTGAAGATGTTATTCAAGGAGTATAATCCAGTGAAACAAATTTGGAAAGAAAAAATGGACGTGAATAGTTCAGAAGATTAGAATTTGGGACAACGCAAAGAGTGGATGCACCTGCGCACACCATCGCAAACGATTTTGAGCCATGTCATTCAGTGTCTCTATAATCTCGCGGTCCCCAACCAAGTAGTCTACACCTACCGGCATGGCTCAGTCCACTTGTCAGTGACTTCATGAACTTGTGCCATGTTTTGGTTTGGCCGCCTCTAGCTTTCTTCCAACCTACTCCTATATCACTGAACATCACACATCGAGGCAGTCGGTGGTTGGGCATACGTAACACATGTCCCAGCCATCTCAACTGATGGAGTTTCACCACTTCATCAATTGATTTGCCACCCTTACCTAGTACCCGTTTCCTAACAACTGGATTACTTACTCGGTTGTTCCAAGATATACGATCAGTGATTCGAAGACACCTATGATCGGATACTAGTAACCTACGAATATCCTCTACTCTTACCGGCCATGTTTCACTGCCATAAAGTAGGACGAACTGCTGCGCAGTAAACACGTCCTTTGGTTGATAGACGGATATCTCGCCTACGCCATAAATGACGCAAGTTGGCAAAAGCTAATCGAGCCTTCTGTATCTGTGCTGAGATTTCGTCACACACCAGACCACAAGGGCTGATGAGACTTCCAAGATAAGTGAAGCGGTCGACAATTGATTGACCACTGAATCATGGAGCTAACGAGTACCAGGCATCACGATAAATATATGTAAATTTTTCTGTCAGATATCTTCCAACCAACTACTAACTTGATCTAAAGTCATTGAAAGTAATAGCTAAAACTAACTTGCCAGGAGAGAGATAGATAGGTGTTGATTGAATGTTTAGAATATACATGTCTAACTAATTTCATGTTACATATAAGCTGAGAACTTAATACATCTTATCCATAGGTATTAAATACGTGGTAAGTGTAAAGAAACGATAATGAATTTGTATGATTTTCAATTGAAATGATGTTGTAGAAAGTATGAAATAAATATTCTGAAGTTATTCACTACCATACTAAGTAACATCAGCTTAAAGATAAATTTGTCTAATAGAATTTCAGACTGTCGTGAACGAAGAATTCAGGTGGAGAAGATCAATTTATTGTGTATGAATATGAAAACCATACATTGAAATACATCATTTGTACATCTTTCATCAGTTGTTTCTCTTACAAACTTCATCGTTTCTTCATTCTTATTCCCTTCAATTTGACCCTTTCAATACTGACTTGTAGTTTAAATTTACTACATATTGTGATTGAGGTATCATTGAAAAACGAAAGAATATTAAACAGCTAATTTGTTTTATTATAAGAAAGTTTCGCAGTGTAAACCTATGACCATCGGGTTTTATTACAGATACCTAACTATTAAAAATACTTAGTGAGTGTTCAGTGATATTAGAGTTTTAACTTCGATTAATTTGTCATAATGCTCAACAAACAAAACTGTTTCAATTACAACGTTTCGGAACTCTGATAATTATTACTTCTCACTAGAGCTTCTATGATCATTTTAAAGTTATTTATTTATTTATTTGAACACATAGATATTGGTACAAGGAGGCACCAAATACATATGTACCACACAAATCTCATTCGATATGTGTGAGAACTGTGATACTGCCCGGGTGCCCAAACCGAAGCAGGTGGTTTTCTTAGGGGGCCACTCCCCTAGCCTTCGACCTGAAGGTTTGATCCGCAACGCAGTGGAGCATCGTAAGGAGATGCAGTCCCATGTTAGCCGGTGACCAACGATTGGTTCGTACGCCATTTGTTCCCTCAGAATACTGGAGCCCATGTGCACCATTGATTTGGTTTGGGATCCGGTAAAAGCGTTGGACATTCTCTTCTCGTCCTCTCAATTTCGTAAACAACACCTCAACCACGAGACGGCAGTGAGTAGGACTTCCCTGGCAGAGGCTATATAGGCGTGGCCATGTGAGAGCATTTCGAGAGGGAGAGCGGACTCTCCCCACTCTCCGCCGTATCAGGGCATTTGGGCGCTCATTTTAAAGTAAGTTACTAATCAGCTGAATACTATAGTTCATTTGAAGTAATTTCATAAAAGCTAGCTTAATTCATAGGTTTCACTTATCACAGAATAATAGTAAAATCACCTGTAAATAAGACTGAATTCCATAAAATCTTTTCAGTAAAACTAGATAACTCGTATAAGTAGAGATAGAGATGGCTAGTAGTGAAATGCAGGACGCACAATTCGTCCCATTTTGCACTTGTAAGCAAGATGTACTCATATCCCAATCAATAGATAATTAATTCATATCGGAAGGGGCTTTTTGTGTATAATATAGTAATTTTAATAGTTGAAATCATGAGTTAGTTGAAGCTAGACCACCATGGAAAACCTGGAAGCACTGGACCGCCGTTTCGTCACGTTGTGGGACTCCTTAGCAATGCGTATCCACAATCCCGCCTCGCTAGATTCAAACTCAGGACATATCGCTCTCGCGCGCGAACGCTTTACTGGGCCAGCATCCCACGGTGTTAATGTTTCATTTCAACTAAACCCCTTCTGATATTAGTCAATATATGCTCACTAGTGACGGTCTCCAAGACGTATTTCCTGGAGTTCTAGTGAGAAACAGTGACCAGTGGATTTCAACCATGTCTGTTATGAGATAGTAACTCACTGAAGACAATGATGGATGTGTCGCTCAATTTCATGGATAAGTTGAATTTAGACATTAACACCGTTGGATGCCGTGCAGCTCACTGGTCTGGTGGTTAAACGTTCGCGCGCGAGACTCATAGGCCCTGGGTTAGAATCCAGCAAGGCGAGGTCGTGGATGTACACTACTGAGGAGTCTCACAATAAGACGAAACGGCCATTCACTGATTCTAGGTTTTCCATGGTGGTCTAGCTTCAAATGATTCATGATTTCAACTAGTAACATAAATAATTCTTAGTAATTTTATGTCAAGGTAACAACAACCAACAACAAAAAAACTCACCATTTTATTTAATTTATAATTCGCAATTAAATGTACATATTCAACACGATTTTCTTCAGTAACTGGTATATGTTTACCACCTGGTTTCAATTCGATCGTTTCAGATTGACCAAAAATTGATTGAACCATAGTGAAATCTAAGGATAAATCTCGTACATCCCCTTTGTAATTTTTTAAAAATAATAATTGTCTATTGAGAAAGAAAAATATGAAAATATAAGAAATAAACAACAAACGATTGATTGAATAAGATTATTATACATTCAGTCAGTCAGTAACAACGTAGAACTTCGTACGTACGTACATCAGTTCGAGTTGCCATACATTGATTTCAATTCAATCTGAATTGTTTATCATCTTAATGATGAATTATTAAGAACTGTGAAACAAATATAGAAAAAATTCTATGAAAACACTAAAATACTTATATTGTGGGGGTGGTGTTGAGTGTTGTTAGAGGTATGAGGGCGGTTATCACTTATGGATTGCGCACATTGTGGAAAGGTTCTCCTAGAGGTACCTGAAAAGGGTCGGAGGTGGCGTGACCATAGTACCCAAGGAATAACTGCTTGAGACCGGACACATCCGACCATTTTGTAACTTTTTTGTTAGCTCCGTACGTGTTGGAACCTTACCGAGGGAGACGAAAATCTGTGGGATAAGGCGATGAATGCATTTTTAGGGCAGAAATTTTCTAAACGCACCCTTCCTTGTGGGAAGGTAGCATCGCTGTTATGGTGATTGTTTAAGGGAAACAATTACTGCCATCACAGTTCTTTACAATCAGCAGTACAACTTCGCCCTCGGACCTTTAGTTTGCTGTTTTATTCTTACCACCCTTCAACCGACCTGGATGGCATAGTAGGACATTGAAGAACGATTGTTCCAGCCAGTATAGCCCAATTGGTCCATCACGATAGGCAAGTCTGGCCACCACGTCAAGGTAGCTGCGGTGGTCGGGATACTATGGGAGGTCAGTTAAAGCTTGTAAAGATCACTGATAACATTGAATGACATATATGGGAGTGCAGGGTTGATGGTAATTTAGATATTACAGAGCTTATCAGCTTGCTTACAGGTACAATTGAATGAGTAATGACGAAAGTTTAGTTTGTCTAGTCTTTAAGTGTTGATTAAATCCTGTCGACCAATTTGCAGAGGAAAAATAGGTTCCCTTCAAGACTAAAGAAAAACCTTGCTAACGAATGACAAATACTTCAAAACCTAAGTTTAGGATTTTGTTCTCCGATTGTTTCTAACTATTTACATAGAAGGAATTTCTAATGTACTTCTCAATAGTTGGGTAGTCATTGCAAGTCTTAGTATAAAATAACCAAAAGGTTTCACGTTGATATAGATTCTGAATGCTGATCATATCTGTTCTAATGACTTGCTAGGTGATTTCTAGACTCAAAAAAAGATTGCCACTTCAATGAAACCATGAAGGAAATATGAAACAGGCTTTATATTTAATCTTAGTGTAGTTACAAAATAAAAAGGAGATATGTAAGATTATCAGTAGCATCCTTAGCATTTAGAAACATATGGAATGGATACTAATATTAGTAGTAAATCTGCTTAAAATGAAAAATATTTCTACATTTATTGCTCAAAAAACTACTTACTTATACAATTGAGGATCAAGTGAATGTAGATAATCAAAGCCGACTCCGCCACCGCCACTTCGACTAACAATTTTCGCCAAGAAGAAATAAGCGAACTGAAGTTCGACAAGCACACCTTCGTAAATTGCCTACAATTGTATGAGTGGGTATACACAGAAAATATATTAGTAATATCTATAAAATAAAGAAAATGTAAAATCTGAGGTATAATTCACTTATTATTTACTTGGATCTTCCCCTTGATGTTTAGAACTGTAATTGGTCAGTCTCTTATTGGCATATGCGCATACTGCGAGTATTGCCTCGATATTGCCGTAATTCACAAGCACTATAATCAAAGATGGATAGTGACTGACAGCAGAATCCAATTTGACGCGCGTTTCATTCTATTTAGGACCAGTCAGCTGGATGTACCTGCACCCAAGAGTTGATATTCACTCCAGGACTCAGTGGCGAACGATACTAGGTTCGAGTCCCGGAGTGAACATCAACTCTTGGATACAGATGCATCCAGCTGACGAGTCTCAAATAGGGTGAAACGCACGTCAAACTGGATTCCACTACTAGCCACTGATATGATGGAAAGAAAAGTCAATTTTTGATTGATTTACTGATTATAAGTTTTGTTCAAGATTACTTCCGTTTTGATTCAATGCAATGATTACTCAAAGTAGTATTTGTTTTCTCTTTCCCGTATGATATTTTATTCTGTATAATATACGATATTCTTGTATTCCATTGACATGAACTATGCTCAGTATGTGATTTTTTATAACTCTACGTATTTTTCATGTATGTGGTTTCATCCTAATTATTAATCAAAATGGGTGTACAAACAATATATAAATGAGTGTATTTTCGACTAGGGTCGTCGTCGTCATAGTGTTTTGGGTTAATAAATCATCACTTATACCAGTCTTTGTCTTCATACTTTCGCATCGTGGGAATAGCAGAGGTCTCTCGTGCCGAGTATAAGTAATAAGCGTTTCCGACATAACAATCAGCGACGACCAAATACAAAAAGTAGCACTAAAAGAGCCAAGACAATAAACATTCAAACGACAAGTTATAACAGCCACTATTCATATTTGCTTATAAGGGTACAATGTTTAATTACTTAATATAGATATAGAGGTAGGTGTTTATCATAATAGAGTACTGTAGAGAAGAGGGAAAAGGATCCATTAACCAATGGAAACCGAAAAAACATTGAAATTAAGCCGAGACATTTCAAGACAATTAAAGTGTTAGAGGGGTATAGACAGGGTTAAAGTATGTTCCGCAAACGCTGATTTGTTTTTCCCTAACCAATTGGTGCTAGCGGAGACTTAAAGATTCTAGAATCTTCATATGCAAAAACTATAAATATACTAACGTATTTCTTATTGGGATTCCTAATTCCACCCAACCATCTTCATTTGTAATACAATTACCTTCCTATTCAACCATGTAATAATTTCGGGACTTGTCGAGTGAAGTAATGTTCAAGAATATTAAACAACAGAAGTAACTCAGTCGTAATAAGAGAAAACATAACAAAAGGACAACGAAAAAGATAATGAAATAACGAACAGAAAAAAATAATGAATAAATGAATCATCAGAATCAATAGTGAACAAAGATATATTCCCTTATTATCGAAGGAATCTCATGTTGTCGGATGGATATCAGTAGACCTTCAGTGACAAAGTTGGTTAAACACAGTATATTATATACTTCATACAACTAAATTGTAGCACAAAACTGATAGATGATACATACACAAATATAACACATCTGAAATGGATCCTATTTCACTCATAAAGTCAGCCAGTCTGTAACAACGTAGAACTTCGTACGTAAGTACATCAGTTCGAGTTCCCATACCACATTAGCACAGACATACAATTGTCTATTCAAATCTCATAGTGGTAGAGGTAGTAAGAGTATAAGCAGTAATTGGAAACATAAGGGTTTGAAGATGTTATTCAAGGAGTATAATCCAGTGAAATAAATTTGAAAAGACAAAAAAATAAAGGGACATGAAGAATCCAGAAGATTATAATTTGGGAGAACACAGAGAGTGGATACAGTTGCGCCATCGCAAACGATTTTCAGCCATGTCATTTAGGGTCTCTAACCATCGGTTGCTATCATCTCGCCGTCCCCAACCAGGTAGCCTATACCTACCAACATGACTCAGTCCACTTGTCAGTGACATACTCATAAAGTATATTTAATTAAAATTGTATTAAAATATTAAACAAATGAATAACCTTTGCTAAAATTCTTCCTAAGAAATAATAATGCTTTAAATAATCCAATGTAATTGCAGATGCTTGTGGATTTGGATATAAAGTTTTATCTGATGCATAAATAAAAAATCCTCTAGTTGGATCAAAACCAGCACGAATAATTTCAGTAAGAAATTCTCTTGATAAACCACCACCATCAATACCAACTTCAGCTAAACCAGTTGGATTTAAAAAGGTCACTTTTAAACGTTGACGTAAATTGGGTACTGCAAAATAAATTTTTTTTAAAAAAAAATTTTTGTTTTAGATTGAAGGAGTTTCAGGGGCAGATTGGTTTAATTTTTACGTTATATTTATCATAAATTGATCTCATTTAAGAGTACTAGTAAGATCTGAGTAGTAGTCCTGAATATGATCCTTTGTGGGTTGTGAATGCATATTAGCGAAGAGCAATACACTAAGAAGAGACGGTTATCCAGTGATAAATAATTCTCAGGTGAACGCTGAAACCAATCTAAAAACAAAAGATGATGAATCGGGAATAAAAAGTTATCCGTTTTTCCGTATCCGTTTTTCAAATACAGAATTGAATGCATTGATCGTACGATTTTTTATCTAAAGATCGTACATAATCAACAGATGACTGAATAAACTAATTAGATTTAGTTTGGTTAATAAAATCTGAATCTTAAAACTGTGAAGAATGAAATAAAGAACAACATTGGAATCGTATCTAAATTGCATTCTAAAATATGCCTGAAGACTCCGGGATCAAAAACCAAGGAGTCGTAATGAAGTAATATGAGCTAGTATTACATGAGCTATTTTTTACTTTACAGTCATTTGTTAGTCAGTCCTCAAAGACGGGGAATAATACAAGATATGATAATCATAGAATTCAGTAATCGCCAAAGTTATTATTCCACAACTCCATTTAGAAATCATGATTTCACATGAACGTGATTAATCGTTGTAAACTCATCAGCTGGATATACCTGAATCTAAGTGTTGATGTTCACATTGAGGCTCGGACCTAATAATCTTGTCCTGTAAACACCAGCATCAGAACTGAGATGGATATATATATATATATATATATATATATATCCAGCTGACGAGTCGTAAATTAGACAAAACACGCATTCTGTGTTCCTCTGACAGTCATTATTATTCAACTTTAATTTTTTTTTAAAAACTATACAAGATAAACATTACCATTTTCTTTGGATAATTTCTCAAAACCATCTTCATATAAATGAGTTCGACGAACAACAAGAGAAACACTTGGTTGATTAGACATATTATATATTCGTCGAAATGGATTACGATTATATGTACTACCATCACTGATTAGAATTTTAAATAACTATAAAAAATGAAGAGAAAAAAAGAATTAAGATACATTGCAACACAACATAGCGTGCACAAGACAACACTATGGAAGCTTCTTCGATACTACGGCGTGCCTCAGAAGATAGTCAATATCATACAGAGCTCATATGATGGATTAAACTGCAAAATCGTACATGGAGGACAGGTCTCAGACTCGTTTGAAGTAAAGACCGGTGTCAGGCAACGTTGATTACTCTCACCCTTTATCTTTCTCTTGGTGATCGACTGGATCACGAAGACATCAACATCTGAATGAAAGCATGGGATACAGTGAACATTTGGGATGCAGTTGGACGATCTAGACTTCGCATATGATCTGGCCCTTCTATCCCAAACGCAACAACAAATGCAGGAGAAGACGACCAGTGTAGCAGCAGCAAGTCTCAATATTCACAAAGGGAAAAGCAAGATTCTCGAATACAATACAACACAACATGCACCAATCCAGTCACAATTGACGGAGAAGATTTGGAAGATGTGAAAACCTTTACATATTTGGGCAGCATCATTGATGAACAGGGTGGATCTGATGCAGATATGAAAGCGCGGATCGGAAAAACAAGAGCAGCATATTTACAACTGAAGAACATCTGGAACTCAAAACAACTGTCTATCAACCAACACCAAGGTCAGAATTTTCAATACAAATGTCAAGACAGTTCTAATGTATGGGGCGGAAACCTGAAGAACTACGAAAGCCATCATTCAGAAGACACAAGTGTTTATTAACAGTTGTCTACGCCAAATACTTCGGATCCGTTGGACAGACACTATTAGCAACAACCAACTGTGGGAAACAACAAACCAGATCCCAGCGGACAAAAAAATCAGGAAGAAGCGCTGGAAGTGGATAGGATATACATTGAGGAAAGCACCCAACTGTCACAAGACAAGCCCTCACATAGAATTCTCAAGGTCAAAAGAAAAGAAGAAGACCAAAGAACACATTACGCCGGGAAATGGAGATAGACATGAGAAAAATGAACAAGAATTGGATGGAACTAGAAAAGAAGGCCCAAGACAGAGTGGGTTGGAGAATGCTGATCGGTGGTCTGTGCTCCATAAAGCATAACAGGCGTAAGTAAGTACTACAATAAAAACTATTGTCAAATAGAATCCATATCCTGTTTTACAAGTCAGATAGTTATATGAACTTTGTAGGTCGGTGGATAACAACAATATGTTAAACGTTTGAAGTGAAAGGTACTGGATTCGAGAAGAGATGTGAATATCAACATTTGGATGTAGATATATTCCGAAGTCTATTTGTTTTTGTAATATTGTATTCATTGAGCTAAATGATTTATTTGTGAAGCTTTGATTTTCCATTTTAAACTATATCACCAGAAGTGTAAATATGAGAGGAAAGTGAATTATTAAATATCCCCTTTCATGAAGGATATGATTATTTTCATACACATAAATGAATGATTATACAATACATAAAAAGTTTAACTGATGTTTAGTGGCCATATATATTTGACTTGAATGAGATCGGACAAATGATCATTATTGAATGATTACTATTGATAATATACAAATCGCCAATTCTCGTATACAGTTATCGACTTAACTCGCGTTAGTGAATAAGGGAATTAAAACAGGTCAAATACGACAAAAGATTTCGAATAAGTATACTTTATACAATCATTAATCTGGACAGACAATCAGAGGGACGAAGCGAGGAGTGTAAGCCAACTTCATTTGACGAAGCGTTAATCGATATTTATAGTTATACAAAAACAAGTTGCAGCCATGTGATGAATAGGATAAGATGTGTACACACACATACACTTATATAAAAACAGTCAATGTTGATAAGTGAATAATTAAAAAAAGATCAAGACGTAACTTAAGAAGAATGAATAAATTGGCCTGTCCACCCAGAAGCTGGAATAAGTTATATGGGTTTAACATTGCAACCGAGATTACAGAGGATTAAAGAACTTGCTTTTCAATCCATTTGGTAATAGATTTAAACCCCGTAACCATCGATTTGGGATTGAACGCACGAGTGATGGTATGAACAAGCCACACAATTGTGGAATTAAGCCAAGTAATTATTATTATTATTATTATTATTATTATTATTATTAATAATAATGGTTTTATTCAATATTGTGCTTGGTTAATGGCATCCTATACGATCTGCGATGTTCCCAGAGAGTGGAAGGTCAGAATTCATAAACATTATGTTATTATTTCATTTGCTGTCGAAGTAACACATTTACCGATTCATATACTCTCAACTTGGAGCAACAATTTAACTCTAAGTATTGTTTCAAACAATACGACAACCAACTAATCCCTGAAAGTAATACATGTGAACAACTAAAAAAAAAATCAGTAAATTTTATCGACAAAATTGAGGAAACTGATGTCAATCTTATAATCAGAGAAAACTAAACAAACCTAATGAAGATCATTGTATCGATGTTAAGGTTGAGCACTTGAATAATAGACAAGTAGAGCACTGGATTTACTCTAATAATAATAATAATGATAATAATAATAATAATTGTGTAGACGAATAGCTTAAATCAATGACAACAATGTAATGAATAGGCAACCAATAATATACATAACATACACACTGTACTTACTTTAACTCGTTTTTCAAATGGTATAACAAATGGAACTTTTTTCAATAATAAGACTTGACGTATTTGACGATTGGATAAAGAAAATGATTCTAGTACCAGTGACATTTAAACGAAAAAAACAGACACACAAATCTGTATTAGAAATTATTTTGCTATAGAAACATTTTGAGATATACACAAAGAGTACTAGAAGTGTCATTCTATTGCTGAAGGGAATTGAGAGAATGTCTTTGTTTAATATATCTAGAGTCTTATGTTAGTTGGCTCTATTCAATAAGTTGTACCTGTAAACTTAAGGAAATCGATAATCCCTGTAGGATTCATACTCGCTTTATTCAATTTGAATGTCAGAAACATGTACATACTGAGAGCTAGATAGGTCACAATTGAATCCTTTTAAGAATTGAAAGTTGTTTTTACTAAGTTGGATATGGGTGATCATTACTCAGGACAAGCCAACTAACTAATTAATCAATGAGTTCTCAAATAACTTAAGTTTGTGACAACTAATTACTGTAAAAAATCTTCTCAGATCACGCAGCGAGCGCTTAACAGGCCGACCACTGCACTGACACAAATGATTCACATTTATAATTTTAATCAGTTTAACTCTCTACATATCTAAACTCTAACAGTCACGACTTCTCACTAGAAAACTTCGAATTCAATCCTCAGTGGAATTCTGAATATGTACTGCTGAGGAATTCCATACTAGGACAAAACGGCTGTGCATTACTTACTGGTTTTCAATGATTATTTAACTAACTTCAGTCAATGATGCCTCTAATCAATATAATATGACAAATAAATGACACTACACTAACCTTGATTTCGATCTGGATTCAAAATACTATAATAACCAAACGGTGCACCAGCTAATGCCAATGTATTTTGATAACCATGATTTTCAAACCATGAAGATTGTGATTCTGTAGTATTTAATAAATCAAATAAGTTATCTTTCAACCAAAATGTTTGACTAAGACTTGGTGTGCCAAGTGGTAGACGTGGTGAATTGGTTACGCGTGCAATATCAGTTGATGAGGATGAGGATGAAAATGTAGATGATGCATTTGTAGAAGCTGTTGTCGTTGTGGATTGTGGATTTTGTAAAAGGTAGATAGGCAGACTAGTATCTTGTTGACGTCGACAACGACGATCCCAATCATAGATTTGAAATACTAACCGTTCAACTCGACGCAGTAAACTACACCAACAATATAGTAAAAGACGAAAATCCGGTATCGACTGAAAGAAAAAAACAAGTTTTATACATACAAAATGAGAGAGTAATTAATTGTTAAATTCAGCTATACGCATAAATACATACACAATTCTGCATAAATCTGGAGAAATGGATTAGCGCTTAGGACGTTCAACTTTCAGCTACTAAGTTGTAGGTTCAAACATACCTCACCTACTTCGGTTTAACCAGCCGCTCAGTATTAGTAGCCCTCAAACATAAATTTACAACGAAATAATAAATTTCATGAATTAGGATTAGACAAATTCAAGGTGGTGAGGATCTAATAATAATGCGATTGAGAGTTGTAGTATTTACGTTCATAATTAACGACTTTGACAGTTAAGTTAATCCAAATCTATATTTGGTAAATGAGTTATACTTTTAAGAGTTAGGAACACTATTGTTTGACTTGTTATATGATGCTCGTTGATAAACTCACAAGTGAACTTGTATGTGAAATGGTTTACAAAATATTTGTTAATGACAGTTCACGAAAATGTAATAGCAATGTATTATTATATTATTTAAGAAAATGTTTTACCCATTGTGTATAATTTCGCATCATTAGATCACCAATAGGTGAACTGCCAAGATCGGCTATTTCGACCCATTGTTCTATTCTACGTAATACTGCACCATAATTTGGTTGTTCCATTGATTCTGCACAATGTGTATCTGTTTGTAAATTACAACGAGTTTGTTTCGGCACTTGATCAGGATGTGACAAATCAATTAGGCCGAGCATAAGATCACGAAGTCTTGCACCAACTTGTAATAATTCATCAGCACGAAAACCACAACCTCCTCGTGAGGGTTCACTATAATTATTGATTGGTTGTTGATGACGATAATCGTTGGAGTTGGTGTAGTTCGCTTCCGATGAGATGTCACAGATTTCCGAATCAGTTAAACATAATAAGCGATGATGAAGACAATCAGCAAATGTAAATATCAGTGGAAGATAACTGTTTAAATAAACAAATAAATAGGTTATTTGAAGAGATTGGTTTAACCTACAGGTGTTGTTCATGACAGATTGATAATATTTGGAATGACATAAAATATCAGTGAAACACTGAACAGCAATTTTGTCCCAATGTAGAACACCTTGAAAGTGAGTACCCGAAACCGCACTAGGGATCGAACTCAGGAACTTCAGATCTCTCAGAGAATAGACAACCGTTGAAATAATTAAATCCAATAATATCATTCCAAGTTCCATCAAGTGCGGAATAGCGCGATGACCATTCATAGTCAATAGTGACAGCTGTTCCACTACTAGTGGACACCAGCAAAGTGGTTCTAGTTGTTGGATGTTCAACGCCAGATCTGAAACTCCTGAATTAGATTCCCGGTGAAGTGTGTGAACTGTTAAGGAGATACACTAAGACGTAACAGCTGTTTTGTAGCACTCCAAACTAGATCAATTTTCAACGATTACTACATGGATGATTGTTATGCTGTTCCGAGTCCACAGACGTGAAAACGGTAGTCTGCATCTACCATTATGGCTCATACCAGAAGTCAGTGACTTCAAGTAGTGAAGCCACGTTTTCGTTTGGCCACCCCTAACTTTCTTCCAACCATCCCAAACACTAGTCAGCATTGCACTTCGTGGTAACCGTAGTTCAGACATAAGTGACACGTGGCCCAACCATCTCAGACGATGAAGATTCATAACCCCACCAACTGATTTACCATCATCATTCCTTAATACCCTGCCCCATAACCTTACTATTACTTACCCAGTGATCCCAGCACATACGAGGTTACAACATTCTTTTCAACAATTAATGAAATTCGTTTAGTTGTAAACCATATTGACAGAAGTCTAAATGGATTAACTAACTAACCTTTGAAGTTCCACTAAATGCGTAGGTAATTCACCCGAGCATAAAATATTGAACAATGTAGACATATTGGTATTTGAATAATTTAATGTTGATTTATTTAAACATTTAGTATTTTCAATTAATTTCCATAAACAACGTAAATAGATTGTATACTGTGAATAAATTGAGTTAATGCTGAAAAGAATAAAGATAAAAGAAGAAGAAGAAGAAGAAGAAAGGTAAGAAAAAATCCAAACAAAAAAAGATAATTATTTATTAAATAAGTATTAAATAAAGCATATCAATTAGTCAGCAACAACAACAAAAAAACAAACGTAGAACCTAACATAAACATGTGGATCGGTTCAAGTTTTCCAAATGATTACAAGATAAATTACCAGGGCTGAAGAAATAGTTATTGATTTACACATATAAATATTGGTACAATGAGGCACCAAATACATATGCTCCACACAAGTCACTTGATTTGTGTGAGGGCTGTGATACTGCTCGGGTGACCAAACTGAAGCAGGTGGTTTTCTTAGAGAGCAACACCCCGAGCCTCCGACCTAAAGGTCTGATCCACAAAACAGTGGAGCAACGTCAGGAGATGCAATCCCATGGTAGTCGGTGACCAACAATAGGTTCATACACTATTTGTTCTTTCAGGATACTGGAGCCCATGTGCACCACTGGTTCGGAATCAGGATTTTCCGACTCCCATAGATGGATCCTCCATATTCATTAACCCGGTTACATGTTTGTGTGGACACACGTACATAGGGAAGAGTAATCGAACAATGCAATTAAGGGTCAATGAATATGTGCCTAGATGGCTTCAAAATCAATGTGTTTCAAATGATCCGATTACTGTGAGAGTTAGAAAACCAGGTTCATCGATAGCGAAACATATAATTGAGACGGGGCACAAAATTGACAAGTAATACAGCTTTTAGAACGTTGTATAGAAATGGTCAAGGACGAATTCTTAAGTTTATTGAAGCCTTGGCTATTCGTAAATTTAAACCCCCCTTATGTGTACAAAAACCTTGGTAATCCTTAAGTCATTCTATGGCCCAGGATAACGCGACAATTTCTTATTCTTTCTCCCCCCTTTTGTTATTTTACTTGAACTTTTATTTAATTGACCTTTATTAATTTTCATATAAAAAAATGCCCTGACAAGTATATGTGTGACCAGATTGTTCGAAATGTATAGCGCAAATACATCACATTTTTCAGATAAACTCCGTCTTCTCATTGTTCTATCGAAGCCCGCTTAGTGCCGAACATTCGTTTTTCGTTCTCTCGATTTTGTTAGTAAACCCTCTGCCGTCAGAAAACAGTGAGTAGGACTTCGCTGGCAGTGATTGTATGCACATGACCATGTGAGAGCATTACGAGAGGGAGAGCTGACTCTCCCCACTCTCGGCCGTACCAGGGTATTTGAGGGCTGGAGAATTAGTGACATTATCCATTAATGGTCATAGAAACGATTAGGTAAAAATAATGTGATTGAATAAGAAAGGATAAGATAAATTTGTTCAGTGAAAATTAAAAGTATTTTGAAATAAAAAAAACATCTGTAAAATTGTGAATAATTCTGAGATATGTCACTTAACGATCATATCATGGATCCCAACTAGGTAGTTTGTACCTAACAGTACAGATTAGTTTAACAATCAAGAATTTTACGAACTGATGCTAAATTTTCATGTGCGGCTGCACGTAGCTTTTTTAAAAACTATTCCTATACGAGTGGACATTGTGTGTCGATGTAGGGTCTCAGGTACCTATATTGGGGAAAATTCAGAATCTAATCAACTGATTTGTTACTCTATATCTCGTACTCTATGTACAATCTCAATATTACTCACTTCACGGTCCTAATACACGTTTCAAAGGTGTAGATGATTAAATACTAGTAACCTGGGAATATTTAGCTGAAGAGGTCATGTGAGAAATACAGTATAGAGACAAATGACATCGAAAAATGAAAAGTTAAAACTGACATAGAATATGTAGAGCACCTTTTATTGATTAAGAGTAGTTCTGATGAAACTAAATCATCGAACCTAATCAGTTCAGTAGCCTGATTACAAATTGTCAATATGATTGCGTAATCAATACGTTGTAATAATGATTCTAAGTGTACGGAATATAGACACCTGAATATATGAGTCTAAAATGAGTACAAAATATCAATCAAATGATTTTACATACCGTATTAATGATGTCCTAGACAGACCACATACTTGAGAAAGGCAATAATGTAGATATGATGAAGAACGAATTAATTCCAATTTATCTGAATTATCCAAATCACTATTGAAATTTTCTAGTGTAGACAATGAGCTAGCTGCTAGCGCCGGTAAACTATGACTTAGTGACGCAGAGATTTTTGTCAGTTGAGTAGCCTAAAAACCAAAAAAACAAGGAAAGTTAATCAATGTTTACTTATAAACCTCCTTCATTCGTCTATATAATACAGTATAGATAAACTCTTGGATTCTGATTGCCTATTAGCTAATTTGACAATTATCCATTAGAAACTGAGTCAGGAACTATAACTATAAAATCTTAATCAAAGAGGATGATATATACATAAAATACCTTTTGAGTATGCAAGTGTTCAACTGGGGAATAAATATTTCAATGGTTGAGATCATGAGTCAATTGAAGCTAGACCACAATGGAAAACCTGAAAGCACTGGGTCTGTTGTGAGATAGTAACTCACTGAAGGCATTGGTGGATGTGTCGCTCAATTTCGTGGATTGGTTGAGGTTAGACATGAACACCGTTGGATGCTGGCCGGCTCAGTGGTCTGGTGGTTAAGCGCTCGCGTGCGAGACTGATAGGTCCTGGGTTCGAATCTCGCGTGGCGAGGTCGTGGACGTGCACTGCTGAGGACTCCCATAATAGGACCAAACGGCCGTCCAGTGCTTTGAAATTTTCCATGGTGGTCTAATTTCAATTGACTCATGATCTCAACCATTGAAATTATTATAATATCCGCAAAACCCCTCTGATATGAATAAATATTTATTTAACTGAGATATGATGCAATAATCCCACTTACAGTTAAGCTTAGCAGTTAGAACTCTTTAATTAATATCAGTCAATTATCACTGTAGAAAAATGTTACTTTTAATACATAACTAATTTTAAGGCAACAAATTAAATTATCAGAAGGGGTTTTTGGAGATTTTAGAAATTTTCACAGGTTGAAATCATGAGTCAATTGAAGGCAGACCACCATGGAAAACCTGGAAGCACTGGATGGCCGTTTCGTCCTAGTATGGGACTCCTCAGCAGTGTGCGGGATCGTGGATGCAAATTAAATTCACAAATCACAGATATTCTTTGTGTATTATGTACGCAATGAGCTTCACTAAATAATGCAATGGTTAGTGATGATAACTGACTGGTTGAACTATGATAAATAAAGAGAGATTTGAAATAACAACCTGTTAGATGGGCGACTCGATGACAAGTACCCGTGAGATTTATGTGCATATCAATAAACATTGAATAGTGGTTAATAGTGAGATGAATAACATATGTTTCGTCTAATTTGGAACTTATGATATAGTTATATATCTTCATGGTATAAATCACATTATAAGTGTAAGGGCTTATGATACTACGCGGTTGACCAAACCGAAGTAAGAAGAGCAGGTTTTGAACCCAGGGACTTAAAGGCCAGCAGTCGAGGACCCTAACCACTAAGCCACCGTCCCACATGACCTCTTATTATTAGTACTAAGGTTTCAGGTTTTCCCATCGTTAATATTTAATAATGAATTTGGTTAGCCTCTTCTATATTGGTATATGGATCAAATTAATAGATGCCTTGATATTTATTATATTAGCTGTGTTTATAAATTGGTAGTATCTAGAGGAGAGGTTGGACTATAGTAGGTTAAATTCAAAGTGAATTGTAAAACTTAGTATTTGGTTATTAATGAATGGAATCGCCAAACTTTGATGTTTAACAGGTAGGTAGGTGTTTTTATCCATAAATTGACTACTTTAAAGTAAAATTTTTCATTGAACTCATATAGATTAAAATGTATTCCTCAAAAACTATAAAATAAGTTTATTTTCTAGGAATGATACAATGAATATGAGTCCTTTAAACTGTATGGTGTATTTATCATTGCAGACCAGAGTACCTAACCTGTTAGATACTATCTATTAGTGTTCTTGTGACATTTTAGGCCTCTAGATCTACTAAAACTAATGTAACAATATGGTACTACCGCTGTGATAGGTTCCAAACCCGCTCCGCATAAATTGGTCTGACCATCAAAATAGTATCAATGGTTCTTACACATAAATAGCGTGACTCAAAGCCGAGAATACAAAACTAAATTTGGTAAATGTTTTTAGAAAAATTCACGAAACTCTCATAGTATTCCTAAACAATATGTGCACCACACAAGTCATTTGATTTATGTGAGAGCTGTGATACTATCCGAGTGCCCAACCCGGTTAAAGTGCCGGACACTAGTTTTTCTCTTTCTTAATTTCGTAAAGAACAGCCCTGCCACGAGACGGCAGTGGTCGTATGCACGTGGCCATGTAAGAGCATTTCGAGGGGAAGATTGGAAACTCCCCACTCTCGGCTGTACCGGAGCATTTGAATTTACTTATATTGGTACAAGGAGGCACCACATAGATATGCGCCACATAAATCAATCGATCTGTGTGAATGCTGGGATACTGCCCGAGTGCCCAAACTGAAGCATTTTAATTAGTCAAAAATATAAATACCTATCCACTTTTTTTGACGCATCTTAAGTATGAACTGACTGCAGTCTCAATTAAATCATTCAACAATATTAAAGAGAATACAACTATATAACCAAAACTTCAAAGACAAAAACACACATTTTCGACAAAAGCGAAACAAAGATAAGAAATATACCCATACTGGTTGAAACAAGACAGCCTCTGAAATAAGACTACAGTTATTAGCACTTCTAGTAAATTCAGCTGACATTTTCATTTCCTGATCATTGATTTCCACTCCCTTCATTCTATTATGATTATCATTAATCTTGTTGTCGTCATCATCACCATCGTCGTCATCTGATAATTCTTCTCCTTGTCCAATTCGTAGTTGTAACGGTTTAGGATCAGTAATTGGACGAACAATAGGCAGATGAGGTTCCGTTAAACAACTCATAAGTATCCGAGCAACAAAACGTATCGTTATCGCAGCTTCTAAAGGTGAACCAGACCATGTATAATGTGTGTAAGATTCAGTAGCTAACAGAACTGGCAATGATTCGTCACCTCCTTCTTCCTCTGTCACTGCTTCTTCATGATTATCATCGTCATCAGTATCTTGTATTATTGATGACTCGGTTGTATGGACAGTTGAACTTGATGTGGTTGTGGTTGAATCACATTTTACTAACATGCCAGGTATAGCCACAGTCACAAAAAGGTGTAATAAATCTGTTTTAACAATAAAAATCAATGGATGGATTTAAAAACAGTTTTGGGACATTTACTTTCATCAAATACTTCATTCGATCAGTAAGTCATACTCTACCTAGAGCCTGATACATCTATCAGTCGTTTTAAGTTGCCACACCCCGTTAGCACAGATGAGATATACATTCGTGCACTTGGCACTAGGTTACACTCTACGTGTGAGAGACAGAGTGATACCACTACCTGGTTGACTGGACCACAGTAAATGGAGTTATCTTAAAACCTATGATTTGGTGGCTAAAAGTCAGACACTTCACTCATTAAGCCACCCACTACTCCACAAAGCGGTATGTGAGGAGTCGAACCCGGGTAGCTCGAAAAGCAGACGATTAGTCATTTGATCGCAAACAACAGCCGACCTCTAAAAGCACAAAATTTAAGTACAAGTATTTTGTGGTTGCAAGAATTTAAGTGAGACTACTAAATATATGTGCCCTATGAGTGGGAAAAGTTATACTAATACATACAGAAAAACTTCACAACATAACCTTACTACTCACTACAAAGAATTAGATGGAAACATTAGGAGTAGTATGTTTACATGGAAGATAAAATAATTTAGGTCAGTAATATAGCGTAACTGAATACGAGTAGGTGGAAAGAATGAATAAACACATTTGGTGTGAAATAGATTGGAATCAACTTTCGATTCTTCTTGATAACATTCAACAACAATCTAAGGTTACCTAGAACTGTGGTCCGCCTCATTTTTCGGCATCGTCACCGTCCACTGTCCATAATTATTGCGTAGACTGTCTCAGTATCTTTCGCTGCTAGCTATATTCGTATCACGCTGGAGTGAAACATATTTTATTTATGTGTCAGGATACATCGGAATGAAAGTTTTCTTCAAATTCCACTGAGTAAACAATTATTTCTTCTGGAAAATCACTATAGCTTTATTTGATTATATCCCTAAATTTTCCAGCGCCACTACAACGCAAAAGCACGTGCTTGATTCGAAGTACAGTTGCATTCCATGCATATACTTTAGAATCATCAGTGACTTAACTGAGCCCTTCTACTGATAACTGATTGAAAGAAAGTCGATAAAAAAGTATCCAACGTAGAGTTCATACTGACGATTATCAGATTATTAGAAAACTCACTTGAAATCTTTACAGGAATCACTGATTGTCAGAGCGTAGTTGAACCGAACGATCACTCATATCTACTTACTAGAACTCATAAGCCGTATCTAAATGTGGTTCTGAGTAAACTAATCAGTATAATCAGTCATCACTCTTGCCAGATATGATAAATCTGAAATGGTTGTACAGTTTTAAAGGATAATAACCATTTATTTCGATAAAAGACTACAAACATTTTACGGGGCGTAACTCCAGTACCTTTCACTTCATAGACTACTATCAGCTGAGAAATAGTTGAGAAGTGCACACCCTCCCTTTCGAACCCACAGTAATACCTTTACGTATGAGACTACAGAAGTTGCAGCCATATATTTAATTACTTGAAGTATGAATAATGTGGCTTGTAGGAACACCCAACCCATGCATTGTATAAAATGTCAGAGCTTTATCCAGTGGTACTTGTCTGGTTTTAAAGTAGGTTAACTCATTATTATTATTAATAAGCGTGATCATTTTTGCTTTCTGATTGATTTTGTTGTCCCCTTTAAATTTGCAAAGTTTCCTATGTCCCAAGGTTTTGTTGCCATATATACAGAATTGTTCTACTTATGTTCGGAATATTCTGAAAGGTCGATCCTCTTTATTGCTTATTAACTTGTGGATTATTAACGCCAAAGTATTGTCATATATCAGTGAATGCATGATAGAGTTAGCATTATTTTACGTTCACACTAGAAGAGATCTTAAAAAGTTTCTGATTAGAAATTACCTTAGATCTAGATGAATTAAATCCCAAATCGTAGATAATAACAACTGGGTTACAAAAATAGAAGCCCCAACATAATAGTTTAGGGCATAATGTTAAGAAATCTAAGAGCAAGGAACATGATAATTAATGAATTACGGAGTGATGAATTACAGAGCTATTGAAAAACGGCGAAGACTATACATCAATTTAACAGCTAGTTATGCAAACAAAGACATGTATAAAATAACATTTACAAGTGATGCTAATTCTTGATAGCAAACAAAAAATAATTACATACGATGATTATTGTGAAAACGAAACATATAAATGTTACAACGTACTTACTGATAGAAGGAATCAATGAAATAGTTCCATTATGTGGTTGTTGTTGTCGTTGTTGTTCAGTGTTTAATTGGCTATTTTCATTCCCAACCGCTGTTAAACATCCATGAATAACAATTTGATGTAGATTAGGTAGTTTGAACATTTCCATGCCAACACTGAGTATGACACGTTCACCGATAATATAAGTATTGTGATCATCAATGGTTGATATGAGAATATCATTTAATGCTGTGAAAACAAGTTCACGATACAAATCGACCATTGGATTCTACATAAATAGAAGGAAAAAAATAGGAAAATACAATAGGACTGTAAGATTTGTGAAGTTCACTTAGCCGACAAGTGAAAATTATATGCATAGAACAAAATTTCTTTTCTTTGTATTGAATATCACAGGATAATTATTAGTGGAATCCACTTGGGAGTCATTAATCATCTGAATATATTTCATATATCTAAGCAAGTATTACTTATACTACTAGTAGTAGAGCTCTGCTTCTTTTCATTTCCATGTTACCTTGTTGAGAATGTGACATTTTCAAATATAAAGTATGAAGGAAAAAAAATCAATCTTAACATTTACCAAATCTACATATAATAGAATAAATTTCAATGTGATTCGATTCTTCTAAGATCTCTATACAAACTTGTACTTTTTACTCTAGTTAACGGGTAGAACAGAAGAGAATATAAACTATTTTGTTCATTGTAAAGAAATTAGAGTTGTAAATAACAAACTAAGAGCATAAGCGTATCACAGTTGGCACTTACCAACACAGTGTATCTATTATCTTGAATAATTTCATGTAATTGGTTCCTTTGATAAACTTTCTGAAGTCAACAATGATATATTTATAAGATATTGTAAATTCGTTTAATTTTTGTGAGCTCCATATCTCTCATATACGAGTACTTGTATCTTTGCATGCTGTTATGGTTATGAGGGCTGGTGTCACTTCCCGGCTGCTCAAACCGTGGAAGGGTATTTCTTGAAAAACCTGAAAAGGAAGTTGGATTAATGTTGGTCTTAACGACCTGGGAGCGTGACCGCAGAGCCCAAGGGACAACTGCTTGAGGCCAGTCGCGCACGGCCTTTGTGTGGGAGGCTTTTGACGTGTTAGCTCCGTTCTTCAAAGAGCCTTACCGCCGGAGAAGGAAATCCGTGAGGTAAGATGAGGTGTGACATTTTTTGGTCGACCTTTTCTAACCCCTTCCTTCCTTGTGGGAAGGCAGCATCGCTGCAGATGCTGGTTGTCTGAGGGAAACACCTTACTGCTGTCACACCCCTCTACAGTCAGCAGAACGACTTCGTCCTTAGACCTTGAGTTGCTGCTTTTGGTCTTACCGTTCTCCAATCGACCTGCCTGGCATGGTAGAATCTACAGGAACATATGTTCCAGCCGATATAGCTCGGTTGGGTCATCACGATAGGCAAGCCGGACCACCGCGTCAAGGTAGCAGCTAAGGTTGGATAATCCTTATCCAATCAGCGCTAGTCGATACTTGAAGAACACTCTAGAAACTTCTCGTGTAAAAACTATAAACATACTAACGTTTTTCTTATTGTGCTTCTTACTTCCATCTACCCTTGTTATTTGGAATATAATTTCTTTCCTGTCTAACCGTGTTCTGATTTGTGGACTTGTCGAGTGAATTGGTGTCTAAGAATACTAAGCAATAGGAATAGCTGGGTTGCAATAAGAGAAAATTATAACACCAACTATCACTAAACGTGTACTTTTTTCATTGTAAATATAAGCAGTCTATATATAACAAGTATAACTGTGAGATAAACATCTAACTACACAGTCGATTACTAATAATTTATTGCCCTTCAATAATAAAACGATAATTAAGATATGATCATAAACAACATGAAGGCATCTAGAAAAACTGAGAATGTTTGGCAACTCTCTGTTCAATTATCATTGTCTCTGAAAGTTTACTAGCATCCATTCACAACATTATATTAGTGATGTGGGAGATGTAACAAAGTGTGTTGGGTCACCGTGACGATAAGTTCACAGATTTTGCTATTCGGAAAAACACTAGCTTCAGTGGTTTGCATGTGTCAAGAATGTCATCTTAATGAATTTCACATAATGCAATAATTGTCGACACTGAGACTGGGTGGAAAAAGTAGCGGAGTGATCAATTTATAATATGATGCTGTGGCACAAAAGAAAGCTTTACAATACTGGCAACTGTCGTTCCATTACGACTACCTGGTTGAGGTCGTTTTAAAGATGGCATTACTGAAGGGATTGAGATGTCATTAAAGATGACTCAGGATATAAGCCAGTAGCTGTCATGATATGATTTACTTAAGGATTCTTCATAAAAGTGAGGAACTTCCTTAGCTGAAAGAAGTCAGTCAGCCACAACGTAGCACCAGGCACATGTATACATCGGTCCAAGTTGCCATACCTCATAAACACAACAACGAATTCATAGAAACAGTTACTTCAGTAGTAGTGATATATAAAAAGATTGTATATAAGAATATGATAGAAGGAGAAAGAGTTAATTTGCAGAAAGAAATGTATAAAGTATTTTTAATTTCACAGTTTGAAAGAAGACAAAGAGTGTACACACCTACACCATTGTAATCGATTCTGAGCCATGTCACCCAGAATCTCCAACCATTGATTACGATAGTCGCGCGGACCCCAACCAACTAGTCTGCATCTCCCAACATGGCTCAGACAAGAATTTAATGACTTTATGGACGATGCTACGTTTTGGTTTTGTCGTCCCTAACTAACTGAAAGAAGTCCTTCTTGGTTGTATTTTTTTAAACTAAACTCTATCTCCCTATTGTTGTTATTTTTCACTGCACTTCCCTTTCCTGCTTTACCGTTTTTCACAATGTCTTTTCCTTTTACTTTGAGTAGTGCATACTTAGTTTTAGTATCAAACTGTATCAGATTTTAAGCGTATTAAGTAAAATAGAATATTCAATCATCAATCAGGATACATATATGTCATTGAAAAAACAACAAAAGAATTATCACTTACAGAAAATGGACTACCATTATCCGATAGGTTAAAAGCACATTTCAACGGTGCAATTATTAGATTAATAAAAGGACGAGTTTTTGGTAATTTGAAAAATTCCACAGGATCAAATACTTGTGATTGGGTAGTGAAATCTTTAAGATAACCACCAGTTGTAGTTGGTAATTGTTGATCCATAAAATAAGCCAAATGATTAAAATAATGATGCTTTGATAAATGTCGACAAATCCATTCAATACTGAAGTGTAGTTGTTTTGAATATAAAGAGATTTTTGTAGATGAACATGCTCCGATTAAAATGTTGAATAATTCCTCTAATACACGAATCGGTAATGTATAGTTTGATGATGTTGTTAATGATGGAAGTTTTGTTAAATATCTGTAGGGGAAAAATGAAATGATAAAAGGGATTTCAGTGTTTTACAGCAGCGAAATTAAATCATGTAAACTGATTTGTATATGGCCCCCAAATGCCCTGGTACGGCTGAGAGTGGGTAGAGTCAATTCTCTCTCCGAATGCTCTCACATGGCCACGCGTATATAGCCTCTGCCAGGAAAGTCCTACTCACTGACTTCTCGTAGTGGGGGTGTTGTTTATTAAATTGAAAGAACGAAAAGTGAATGTCCGGCACTAACCGGGTTAATGGACATGGAGGATCCACCTATGGGAGTCGGGAAATCCTGATTCCGAACCAGTGGTTCACATGGGCTCCAGTATCCTCAGGGAACAAATGGTGTATGAACCAAATGTTGGTCACCGGCTACCACGGGACTGTATCTCCTTACGTTGCTCCACTGCGTTATGGAGCAGACCTGTTGGTCGAAGGCTCCGGGTGTGACGCCCTAAGAAAACCACCTGCTTCGGTTTGGGCACCCGGGCAGTATCACAGCCATCTCACATATACCGAATGAGATTTGTGTGGCGCATATGTACTTGGTGCCTCCTTTTACCAATATCTATGTGTTCAAATAAATAAATAATAAATAAATGTTTGTATATTTGAAAACTGTATAGGATGAGAAAGGTTGTTGATTATGGTTTCTGAGCTGTATGTTTAAAACAGAATATAGACTTTGGATGGTGTTTAGAAATGGAATCCTGGAAGTGAGTTTTGTCCCATTTGGGAATTGTCAGATGAATGTAACAATATCCCCGTATTTATGTTGCCACTGAGACTTGGACCCAGTACCTGTCTCTTCAAATGTTAGTGTATTTTCGACTAAACCACTGAATGCAGATAGCGCGTACCTTTCTTATATGTAAGGGTTTTTATGATCCAATTGTTGATATTAGATGGTGGTTGGAGGTAGTCGACAGGAAACCCTGGACCGATAGCATTCGATCTGCACTAATAAGGACTAGACACGCACGACATTGATCGCCACCCAATGATCAATCAATTGTGAATTGTTGATATTCGAAACTACATCTAACCAATCTCTATTAAGATACATGTATTGTGGTGCGGACAAACATAAGTAGTATGTAGCAAGAATTGGAAGTGAAATGCTTACCAGCAGGAGATTGGAATTATGAGAAGTGGGAAGAAAACAGAAAGCGATCGGAATAAAAACGGGATTAGAAGAATACTGGAGTATGTAAAGGACAACTCAAAGAAGATATGCAAATAATGTATATAATGTATGATCATTATATTTTACAAAGACACTGTTTGATTTTGCATAAAACAATAAATTGGTTCGCCGTACCTAAGTTCTCGTTCACTACAGAATCAAACAGTGTCGAATAAACTATAAATAAAAATTGGCTAGTAGTGAAAAGTAAGCAACATGAAATTGAGTTTCAGAATTTCTTCCGAGAGATCTAGACAAAAGTATGTACAAAACCTTGAGAAAACATCATCAAAAACCCTTTTTAAAGATCAACTATACGAAAGTATTCCTGAAAATCCTGGGAAGTTTATTCGAAACATATTAAGTCTTAACTTGATGGAAGCACTTTAGGTTCGATTAAAATTTCACATTCTAAGAAGATACACTAACAGAATTGATATAGAAACTCAGTTCGAGAATTTGTATTATCAATTATCTGAAACACAACTAGAATGGATGAGGAAAAACAAGTTTAATTGAAATCTCTTAATATTACTAATCAATACAAGATATCTCAAATTTCACAATGAAACGTCCTATCTAAAGATCACCAAGAAGCTTTACAATTTTTCATGCAGAATTAAAACATTATTATCATTTTAATAGTTGAGATCATGAGTCAATTGAAGCTAGACCACCATGGAAAATCCGGAAGCACTGGACGACCGTTTCGTCCTGGTATAGAACTCCTCAGTAGTGCACATCCATAATCCCGCCTCGCGAGATTCCAACACAGGACTTGTCAGTGTCGCACGCGAGCACTTAACCACTAGACCACTGAGTCGAGCGGCATCCAACAGTGGTAATGTCTAACTTCAACTAATCCACGAAATCAAGCGACACATCTATCATTGTCTTCAGTGAGCTACTATCTCACAACTGACCCAGTTGAACTCCACTGGTCACTGTCTCTCACTATAACTCCAGGATATACATCTTGAAGCTAGTCACTAGTGAGCATATGTTGATTAGTATCAGAAGGGGTTTTAGCATTGTGGTCTAGCTTCAATTGACTCATGACCTCAACTATTGGAATTACTACAATCTCCACAAGACCCCTTCTGATATTATTATTATTATTATTCGACTGAAATATGATTATAATGAAGAAAGATAAGTATGTGAATCGAGTCAATATGAGCTTAGATGATTCGTTAAAACTCCTAATGTATTGATCGAAGAACAATATGACTGAGGTAGCAGAAAAATGTGAACAGAGAAACAAGAAGCGTTGACAAACTACGGAAACTATTTTTCGGTGACGTTATTTCATTTAATTCAAAGCTTGTAAAACAATAATATTTAATTTTGTTCCTAGTCGATTCTACATATCCATAAGCTTTCGTTTGATGTATGATTCACTGTCACAGCCCTTTTTGTTCCAAAGCTGTTGTAATTTAAACGTATTATTTTGTACTCTATTTTCTAATCTAATCTCCAGTATTTTCCTAATTATTGTATTTTGTAGTCGGGTTAGTCATGCATGTTTTTACACTGATCTGAAAACTGGAACCAGATTGGAATTAGAAATAAATCGTTTCGTGTTCCAGTTGACTTGTCTTCTCTCACTCGCGTGCTTGTCAGCCAATCAGCTGATGGAATAGTTTCCTTCTCTCTAACCCATTTCGAACTCACGCGTACTAGCCTCAAGGTTAAGCCGGTCAGCCTATCGCGTCAGGGTCTTAATCTGGATTAGACAAGTTATCCTCAGCACAAAAATGGGTAGACAGATCGAGGACGTAACAAACGTAAAAACAAGAAAGCGTCATGGAAACTTACTTGATGTTGATTAATAACGAATTCCCTAGTGTGAAAATATGGTCAACAGAACCATTAGTTAACCAGTTGACTTGTGCATCTTTTCCATGTTTGGACAATAATAAACGACAAACAGTAAACTATGGTATCAATACAGAGAAAAAAACAAAATTATTCTATAAATGCCAGAAATATACAATTTGATCGTTGAGATCATGAGTCAATTGAAGTTAGACCATTATGGAAAACCTGGAAGCACTGGATGGCCGTTTCGTCCTATTGTGGGACTCTTCAGTAGTGTGCATCTACAATCTCGCCTCGCAAGCGCTTAGCCATTAGACCACTGAGTCGGCCGGCATCCAACAGTGGTAATGTCTAACTTCAACTAATCCACGAAATTCAGCGACACATCCACCATTGTCTTCAATGAGTTACTATCTCATAACAGACATGGTTGAAATCCACTGGTCACTGTTTCTTACTAGAACTCCAGGAAATACGTCTTGGAGACCATCACTAGTGAACATATATTGATTAATATCAGAAGGGGTTTTGTGGATATTATAGTAATTTTGATAATTGAGAAAAATATATTTATACTTGAGAAATAAAATGTATCAATGAGAAATTAATACAGTGGTAACTCAATTGAGCACATACTATTGAAGAGCTCCAGACTAGGACGAAATAGATATCTTTCCTGTCTTCGAGCCAATTGTAAATATTACAATATTTTTGTCGCATATTCATGTAATACATAAATTCAAATGTGGCAGTCTCTTGCTCTTAAACAAAAAAAGCTAGAATGAGAGTAAATTAACTACCATGGTAGTTCCCTTTGAATTTTGTCAGTAATAAACGAAGTCATAGGTCACATACATACATACGGTTAGCAGACGTAATTTTTCAGTTAGAATAAATGTGAAACAGCGAAATCCATTGCTTTATGTTCACAGTTGAAAAGTAGGTGGTCAATGGGGTTTCAGCAGGATCCCTTGTTTCTTCCTATATGGAACTGATAATTGTAGGAGGCATCAGTATCTACCTTGGAATGGTTTACTGAAGATTGAAGTCAATGATTCACTGGATTAAGGGGTATTCAATAAGTGAGTTTCGGTGGATTATGGTGTCGACTATGGTTAATAGTTTGATGTAGTGTTGTCAGACTATCATATCATAGTGACCCAATCGAGGTATATTGGCTGGAAAATTAGTTCCAATAGATTTTATCACGCCATGCTAGTCGGCTGAAGAGCGGTAATGTTAAAAGTAGCAAACCTGAGAATTGAAGAAGTTATAATGCCAAATTTACTGAGGTGTGACGGTATCAGAATATTTCCATCAAACAAACAGCGATCAGTTAGTCACAACATAGAACTTTTACTCATGTACGTCGGTTCAAGTTGTCATATCCCATTATCACAGCATGTGAACCAATATTTCCTTCCAAAAAAGGATTTTATTTATTATTTATTTGAACACATAAATACTGGTACAAGAGGGCACCAAATATATATGCGCCATACAAAACAATGAGAATAGGAAGAGAAAAAAAAGAAGATATGGAGCGTAAAAGAAAAAAACAATAACGATCAGATTAGTGTAAGGTAGTGTAATAATAATAATAATAATAATAATAACAATAATGGGGGAAACGGAAAGGTACAACCAGAAGAAATCTTTCAGTTAAGGAAGATACAACCACTTTTTATGAAGAAAGTAAAAGAAGGTTACAGCAAGATCGCCACTAGCTTCCATTCTGAGCCATATCTGATAACGCCTCTACCACTGTGTCGCACCATCTTTCGGACCCCTCCAAAAAGGAAGGATGAACTTAAAAGATTTATACCTCGAAAATGGCATACTATACCTTGTCCCATGGCTAAACCTTTAGCAAACAACTACTTGTTAAAAGGTAGTGTGTGACCGGCCTCAGACGGTTGTCTTGTGCTCGGCAGACACGCTCGAAAACCGTCAATATCATTACTAATCCAGTCTTCTTTTAGGGTTTTTCAAGAAGTATTCTTCCATAGTATGGCCAACCGAGAAGTGACAACCTTCACTACACTTCTGACAGCAATTTGGTAGATTATAGTGTTCAACGCAATTAACTTCCAACCATTATGGTTCAGGCTTCCATTTCAATGAATCTACTTGAGTTTAAGGATCCAAATTAGTACTATTGGTCCTTACAGAAAAGTGTATTTCAAAGCTGAGTAACATAATTCCATACTTTATTACTTGAGTTGCATTCATGAAAAAAAGTGAATTGTAAACAGAATGAATTATAAACAGCCTTTCGGTCCATATTTGACTTTTTTTATACAAACAACAACAAAAAAACATACATTCTAACTTACAAGATGTTTTTGTTCCGGACTTTTATTACGATAGCATGTATTGAAACATTGAAGTAACTTCAATAATTTATGTTCAAATTCATGCTCCACATTGAAACCAGTTTTATTTATTATATCATCTAATTGTTTAGATAACTCATTCAATAATCCAATAAAGTAACGTTTCTAGAAAATTAAAAGAATGTTCATCAGAGAGAGAGAAAGAGAAACGGAAGAACAAGAACAATGGAACCAAGTAAATATGTTTATAATAAAGTAACACTAGTCATTAAATTGATATCTACATGTTATAACTTGTAACTTGAGTGCCCTGTTCATGTATAACGTAATGATATCGCCAATTAAAGAACAGTAATTTATTGATTAGACCAATGACGCGTAAAACACGTACGAGCAGTCTAGAGTCCTTATCGGTCCTGCTTCCGGTCTAGCCCCACCAGTTAAATCCAGAATATCAATCTCAGCCTCTGTGATATGAACCATGTATTTCAAATATACTGGGTTTATATAGAAACCATACAGACCACATCGTACCAGTAAATAGGAAACAACATTTGCAGAAGATCTATGGCAACTCGAACTGATGTATGTACGTCGGAAGTTCTACGATGTTACCGACTGACAGTATTATATATGTCAACAAAATGCAAATGATTGGTTAAGTTTAGAAATCTTACCATTTTATTTCGTGCAACGTAATCTCGGAGACATTTTTGAATTTTAGTAGCGGCACGTTCTTGTTTGACCATATTCTAATCAAATACACATAGAAAATGATAGAATTGTGAAATAACACACTTTATTTCATTAACAATATAATGTGTTACTTTGATGAAAAACAAACTATATCAAACAATTTTTGTAAGCAATGGTGGATAGTGGCTAGCAGTGGAATCCAGGACGTGCGTTTCGTCCTATTTGGGACTCATCAGCTGGATGTACTTGCATCTCAGAGTTGATTTCCAATCTGGGACTCGAACCCAGTACCATTCGCTTCAAACGCCATTGCGTTATCCACTCAGCTACTGAGTCCTGATAGCCACTTGCTTGTGCAATGGGGTGAATTTAAATTCACTTGGTATTGTTTGGCTTGTATCTTCCCATTGAGGTTATAGACTGCAATTGATCAGTCTGTTATTGGCATATATACATACTGTGCGTATGCCTCGATATTGCCTTAATTCGCAAGCTTTTTGTAAGCAATGATGGATAGTGGCGATAGAACGAAACGCGCGTCCTGGATTCCACTGCTAGCCACTACCTATCTTTGCTTTTAAAAGCTTGTGATTTAATGCAATATCGAGGCATACGCACAGTATGCACACATGCCAATAAAAGACGGATCAATTGCAGTCTTAAACCTCAATGGGAAGATACAAGCTAAACAATACCAAGTGAATTTATATCAAACAATATTTGTGAGAAGACAAGTTTAATGCTACTATATAGTTCTTATTTTCATCGTATTTATGTCATTCACCACAAGTAATGTTGTACTGTAGTGAACGAGAACATAAGTGAGGGAACAATCGAATGTATTTCAACAAAAATTTACAGAACATCTTCGTAAAACCTGAGAATCATGCGCTAAAAATAATTCATTTTTGCAACATGTTAATCAGTCATCTCAGGTTTCATTGTTCTTTCGTTTCCACACCAATCACTCTTTGTACTTGTTCTTTTTTCTCCGATCTTCTTAACCTTCTGCCTACAGATATTTCACTTTCCACTGACGATACATACTACTCTTATCAGTCTATACCAGTAGCACACACCGCAGTACTCAAAATCAATAAAGCCCGCAAATGCCCTGGTATGGCCGAGAGTGGGGTGGGTTCGCCCGTCCTCTCGAAATACTCTCACACGGCCACGTGTACACAGCCTCTGCCAGAGAAGTCCTACTCACTGCCTTCTCACACCAGGGGTGTTGTTTACGAAAATGAGAGGACGAGAAGCGTATGTCCAGCGCTCTAACCGGATTCCAAACCAATGGTGCACATGGGCTCCAGTATCCTGCGGGAACAAATGGCGTATGAACCAATCGTTGATCACCGGCTACCATGGGACTGCATCTCCTTACGATGCTCCACTGCCTTGTGGGTTAGACTATTAGGTCAAAGGCTCGGGGTGTGGCTCCCTAAGATAACCACCTGCTTCGATCTGGGCACCCGGGCAGTATCGTATCACACACACAATTAATGAACTGAACTGTCTATGATCATGGAAACTAATTCTCTTGCTTCGACGAACATTCAAATGATTCAATTATTATTATTGCTATTATTATTATTATTATTATTATTATTATTATTATTATTATTATTTACTACGTCATTATTCACCCTCCTTTATTCCCACTCTGTTTATACTTATTTTTTCGACTTACACAGAAGCTCGTCTTTGGTGGAAATTCGACTGTATCTAAACGTTCTCGAGTCACTGTCCAGTTGAAAATTGTATGTTACCACTGAATATGAGTACTGAAGCAGTCTTTTTGAAACCACGTGCACCATTCAAACTGGCTGCCTTCAACGTTCGTACATTTATGCAGGTCGGACAACAGATAGGGCTGGCTATGTCTTTGGAAAGTCTTAATATTGATGTTTGCTGTCTATCCGAGATCCGTATTCAAGACTCTGGTGAAGTACTACAAATTCGGCCTCCATCTGTCTTTTCGAAAAGCTTGTTTTACGTGCGCTTATCCGGGGACCCAGTGGCACCTTCCTCTAGTCTTGCTGGCGTTGGTGTCGCACTAAGCGCTAGAGCTGAGGCAGCACTAATCGATTGGATCCCCATTAACAGTCGGTTATATGCTGTTAGATTAGAGAGTTCCATCAAAGTGAGAAGAAATCGGCGTGAGAAACGATGTCTTTTCGTCAGTATATGACATGGTGTCGTGGTATGAAAGAAAGCTGCAAAGGACTGGCTTGTGTCGGTCCTTCACGACTCCCTGGTAGGGGTCCGAGAGATGGTGCTACACAGTGGCTAGAGACGTTATCAGATATGGCTCAGAATAGAAGCCAGTGGCGATCCTGCTGTAACCTTCTTTTACTTTCTTGATAAAAAGTGGTTGTATCTTCCTTAACTGAAAGATTTCTTCTGATCGTACCCTTCTGTTCCCCTACTATTGCTATTATTATTATTATTATTATTATTACACTACCTTACACCAATCTCTTCGTTATTGCTTTTTTTAATTATTATTATTATTTCTTTTTTTGCGCTCCTCACTTTTTTTTCTTCTTAGATTCTCATTGTTTTGTGTGGCGCACAAATATTCGGCGCACTCCTGTACCGATATATATGTGTTCAAATAAATAAACCAATAAAATCAATAAAAATTAGGCCAAATTTAGGAGAAACGGCGGACGAAATTATTAGACATGGATTTTTTTTGTTTTTATTTATTCACAGTGTCCCTGAAGCGAAATTCCGGAAAAAAAAAGAGTTGGGGGTTTATTCTGTTGGTGAATGAAACGACAGTTTAAATACTGACAACAACAAAAGTAATAAATAATAACTATTGAACAAGAGGTGATTAAATAACCTATTGATTAACGTTTTGAGATTCAAATCAATGAATACTTAGATTGAGCGCAAAAGGAAATATCAACAGTACGATGTAGATACACCAGTCTGACGAATAACACTGCTAAAATGTAGCATGAAAGTACATTCAAATCAACAAGAAAATCATAAGTGGAGAAGAGGGATACGAAAAATATACAGTATAAAGGTGTTTAATAACTAAAAACAAACACTATGAACTAGTTCTTACTACTGTAATCATTTTTGATT